TAAATTTTCCTGTATCAAATGCGGGATACACTTACACTTTTAAATTTTGTGTAACCACATTAAGATTATTTAAACTAACACATAACTGAGATAATTATTTACTTAATTTGTTAACATATAAAACAATTTATATTATAAAAACTGCTCCAGTAAACAAAAAAAAAATTAAATCAACAAAGTATTATATATGTACAAAGTACTACCGTGAAGCAGTTGTGTTTGCATCGCTGTGTTTCGGTTTGAAGGGTGGGTGATAATGAAATAGTAAACCCCACCGGCGCTATCGGTATACACCGGCGGGGCACGAGTGAAGGATGATATATGAGGATGAAGCAGGTCAATTAGCCCATCGTAACAAATTCAACGAGAATTGTTCACTAAGGTTTCCAGGGGGAACCACGTGGAGGTTGACCTGATATTATATATTGCTAGCAATGGGGCTGTCAAACTCCATTGCTAACAATTCTCCCCCCCCCCCCCCTCGGTTTGAAGGGTGGAAAATGGTAGTGAATTTACAGAGAAATAACATCCGAGTCCTCAGGAATGGCAACACATGGGGGGTATTATGGGCGAAACAGTATACTCTGGTTATATCCATGGTACTGTTCATATTTATAGGCGACGGTTACCACTTTCCATCAGGTGGGCCGACAGCTTGTTTGCTATATTAAGTTGCATAAAAAAAAGTACTTTAATGTGATATTTTTTTATTATTCCATTCAAATTATAAATTCACAACGATTTAAATTTTTACGGGCAGTTTGTTGAATAATCAACATAAGTGGTAAACGATTAAAAAACTAATTAATTAATCAAGTCAGTAAAGACTTAATGAAGACCCGTAAATACTATTTCCATAGTAACTGGTGCACTGACTCATGATATAACCTTATAGAGTATTTCCAGCATAGAAACTAAGTATAGAAGATCAAAATAACATATTAAATATTATAACATATAAAATATAAACATTTTAAAGATGATGAGTTTGTTTGTTTGGTTGAACGCGCTAATCTCAGGAACCAGTAGATAGCCCATTTATCCAGAAAGGCTTATAGGCTATATAACATCACGCTACGACCAATAGGAAGGAAGCGTCAATAATTTTTTTTTATACTACTTAGAATGGCAAACAAGCTGACGGCCCACCTGATGGAAAGTGGTAACCGTCGCCTATAGACATGGGCAGTACCATGGACATAACAGAGTATACTGTTTCGCCCATGATACCCCGCACGCGTTGCCATTTCTGAGGACTCAGATGTTATTCCTCTGTACCCTGTAAATTCACGCCATATCCCACCCTTCAAACCGAAAAACAGCCATGCAAACACAACTGCTTCATGGTAGAAACACGAATTGGACAGAGGTACCCAAGCAATCGACTTTTGTACAAAGTCTCTCTCTGGTAATGTTGCAATAACGGGAAAAACTAATCCTTTTGAGAGTTTCCATTGCAGACAAAATTGCAAGGAGCGGCTAGAAATATACATTATTAAGATATCACAAAAAAAAAAAAACTAAGTAATAGTGATCAATTTAATATAGAACCAACATGGGCGAAAACATTACGAAGGCATAATCACATACAAAAAAAATATACCTACTGATAGAGAACCTCCTTTCTCTCAAAATCACTATAATGTTATTGATTGTAGCTGTTAATCATAACGGTTTAACTCTGTCCCATTAAATGGGGTTCAGTACACTTAATTATTTTCCATTAACCTCAGTTAATTGTCGTAAACATGTTAATTTTTTTGCGCATAGTTCATCCACTTTGTATTTTTTATCAAGATGGACACAAACAATCTTGCGGGTCACTTGAAGCTAAGTAATTATTGTGGCCTGTCAACATGCATGAACAATAACAGAGAAGTTCATAATGAAACTGGTTTTTAATTATATCTAATTTGTTTAGAAACACCACTACATTGGTAAAATATTTTTATAAAGACAAGAAATGTTGCCATAAAACATATAGTATTGAACTACTATTTATCAATGTGATGCTGATGGAATTTCAATTTATGGTCAAAGGGCCCACAGAAATTGAAGTTGACATTAAATTGAATAACTCCTCATAGCTGATATATGTTGTTGAGCATACAGATATGTAAAATACAAGTAAAATACTTTGGTCATTCATATTTCTTGCAAAGCCAAAACAATAAAATAACTAAAGGGTAATGTCATTTTTTCTTTTTAAATTATATCAATCATAACAAAGTTTCATTAAAAAATTGCATTTTGGGTATGCATGTCAATAAACTATATCTTTACCAAATACAATATGTCTCATACAGAAAACTGAGTTTTTTTTTATAGAACAAATGTTAACTTATTTTTATTCAAACATGTTAATCAATAAAAAATTCAACAGTACAGTGACTATATTCTGACACATGACTGTGATCATGTACAAACATATAATTAGAAATGTGTGTGGGAGTAGAAGGAGTACTGTTTTGTATGAGTGATTCAGTGTTGGTATCATTGACCTGAGGCAAATTAATCCATATTAGTTAATAGAGACATGCATTTAAAAATGTCTGACTTAAATAAACAAAATCTTGTTTTCTTGTAACAAAAATTAAACAAATTTTGTATGGGCCATACTTAAAATATTGAAAATTAAAACTGCAGTATCTTTATTAAAAAAAAAAAAATCTTATTTATTCATGGTTATATACTATAATAAAATTATTTCCTAAATAAGAGGTTGTTGCAGATAAGTGATACTGGATTCATATACATATATATGTTAGCTAAATACACCTAATGGAAAATAAACCCATTACAAGTATCTTTTTAACATGTATATGAGATACCAGCTGTATCTGAAAAACAATTTATATATTCTTGTAAAATTATAAGATGTACATCCTACTATCATGTACAAAAGCTTTACATTCAAATGAACCTATTATACCTACTAATATGATGTAAAAGCAAATTTCTTTGTTACTTTATAGCACCTTAACAGTTTAATCAATCACTATTGAATTTGGTATACACATAAAATCACACAGACAAAGTCATGGATAAAAGCTAGTAAAATAATAAGTAAAGTAGGGCTGTTCTCAATTAAAATGGATTCATTAATTTTTTTTGAGAACTATAAAAACATATAATTAGTTATGGTGGGAAAAAAACTTTAAACTTATTATCGTGTAGTCCAGATCTAAAAATCACATTATATCATACCAAACGAACCAGTCGTTTTTTGTGGCTTTGTTGGTTCTAAAATATTATTATACTTATAGTTTTTTTTTCTGAATTATAATTAATTATGAATATGAATTAACTGTAAATATCATATAACTTCCATTAAATGAACTTGCTGTTATTCCAGACACTGTTTCATTTTCCATTCCCTCTCTTATAGATATCTCTGTATGCAGTACAATTTGGTTCAGAAATAAAACAAACACTGGTTTAACACATAGGTATTTTAGATAAATTGAAATTGAATATTTTTCCTTTAGGATAAACAGAGAACACAAAATTGGGCCTACCTTCATTTTTCAACATTTAATTCTAAATTACCTATACTGTCAATAATGTAAAACATCAAATAAACTAATATAACAGCAAAATGTAATGTTAATGAGCTTATGCTAGAATGCTCCTCATGAGACTATTATGGATGACTTTTTTTGTTTATATATTGAATTTCAATACACCTATACATGTAAAAGTTAGATTTAATGCTACATTATATCTACCAGTCAACTACAGACAGGAATAACAGAAAACATAATTGTTGGTGTAATATAATGAGCAAATAAATACTTTATTATTATTATTTTTTATACAACTTAGAATGGCAAACAAGCTGACGGCCCACTTGATGGAAAGTGGTAACCGTCGCCTATAGACATGAGCAGTATCATGGACATAACAGAGTATACTGTTTCGCCCATGATACCTCCCATATGTTGCCATTCCTGAGGACTCAGGTGTTATTTCTCCGTACCCAGTAAATTTACGCTATATTCCACCCTTCAAACCGAAACACAGCCATCCAAGCACAACTGCTTCATGGTTGAAACACGAATGGGACAGAGGTACCCAAGCAATTGACTTTTGTACAAAGTCTGGTATTATATAATATTATATTTATCACTAAAAAAAAATCAGGTGATGTGAAAATCCCTGCCATTCGATTGGAAGTTGCTTAAAAATTAATAAGTATTCATTTTAATCAATATTGGTCAAGATCAGATTCTTAGCAAATAGATAAATATTTATAAAGATATTCAAATGTAACATGACTCATAAAAAGATAAAGTCCATAACAGATTGTATAATTTGGTTTATCAAGAATTCTTTTAAATATGATTATCTTAGTGGCTTCATGATTTTGTTATATATATACAACCTAGCAGGTTATATACATATTGAATACATTTTTATATATATTTATACTATATACAATACATAACTATTCATGTTATAGACTATGGACTATTTCTTGTAATTGTTTGTATTTATAATAAGTTTACTATTGTAATCTTATGGAGGAAATCATAAAGAGTAATCTATCTATCTATGGAATATTATTAAATAAATCTTTATAATACATTTGAAGTCATACTAATTTTGCTAATGTTATTTAGATATAATAATGTTTTAAGTTATATAAAAAAAAATGTTTACAGATATAACATACAGATATAGATAATAAACTTAGGTAAATTTGGTGTTTTCCAGTCAAATATATGAAAACTTACTGTATTTGTACTTGTAATTACTAAAATATAAATATAATTAGGTTACTTAAAGATTTACAAAAAATAAACACCTGTTACACTTGATTTAACAAGAGCAAACATTATAGAAAACTCAGCTTGGCGGGTGGCCTTCCGCCTTCCCTCCAAAGGCACACTAATTACCACGTCTTATCATAAAAGGAAATGTCACCGTTCAAGGTAACTAACATGAAAACGTGATGGAAAATTATTGGAAATCAAAACAAAACCACGACCACTACTTACCAGTTGCCACTTAGACTTGCGTGTAGGGTCTGCTATGGTCATCAAAAGTCTATGGATCATCTGAACTGTCCCTTCGTAGTACACGAGTGCGGATTCGTAGTTACCCATTAATGCCATTTCTCTGGCCAGCTTTGTGTTCTCACAAATTTCTCCAACAGAAACTGCCATTATTGTCATTCCCGCTGCGTACATGTAACAACTCCACGGTAAAAATTGAATGGTTCTCTTTAAAAACCTTTCTTAAATTGCACTGAGATATCCAATACAGATCCGAATGTATCACATCGCATTTTTATAATGTAACCCGCCCGACTTTCATTGTTTTTATGTTATTCACATTGAATGTCGTTGTTTTATATTTTTTTAATAGATTATTTATCTCATGGCTTTATAGAATTTATAAAATGAATAACATATTTTTGGAGACAAAACAAACTTATCAATTTCGTTCAACAAGACACAATCACAATCGCAAAGCAACTGCCAACTTTCAAGTCAGTCAACCAATCAAGAATTAGCCCATTCCTTTTTGAATATTGGTACTTCTTCATACAGTTTGTTCTCAATTATCAATTTATCTGCTCATCATCCTTAATTTTTTAAATGGCAACTCGTTCCTCAATTCTTCTTTTTATAATTGCCAATGGTATATAATTAATGCAAGTCATACCCATCATGTCACTAACAAACAAGAAAAAAGACGGTATATGAAAATGGAACGGTAAGGATTTTAGTATTAGTGATAGTTAAAGATTTTGCATTTATAGAATCTAATGCTGACGGTCACCTGTTCAAGCACATATCTAAGATAAAGAAGACGAAACAGTTCTTTCCCTGCTCTATACTGGCAATTTGTATGTATTTTGATATTTGACTAATACTTCGGCCACATGGTCCCGAGTTGATATTTGACTTAAGTCATTTGATCGTTTGTACAACTCATTAGCATTGGGCTATTTATCAGCGCATAAGCGCGTGAAAATTCAAATATTGTTTCAAGATTATAATCGATGACATATTCAGAAGTGCAGGATAATTAAAATAAAAAGATAAGTTGATTGTTGTATTAAGATAATTAACTATAGTATGAGAGTATAAGTTTTAATAATTTTACAAGGACGTCAGGTTTCTCGACTTTTAATAAAGTAACGTCATTGTTCGAAGAATATAAATATTTGTGTAGTGCGGGTTCGAAGCCACAGTGGAAAGCAGTGCAACCAATTTAGAAATTTTCACTGATTTTGTCCTTTAAAATCCTGTACCATTATATCTGTACCAAAAAATTACTGAATTATGCCATTTTACGTCTAAAAAATTTACAGTTAACTATCTATGTATGGGATAAAATAAAACGTTGAGAAAAAATAAAACAATGCTAACAATAAACATTATATTGACAATTTCTAGGTTTTATATATAATTATATGAAACATAGATACATTTTTAATAGTTTATTTACATCAACATATTGAATAGTCGGTGTGGTTTTTATCTCTGCAAATAAAGAGTAAAATATCATCTCTGAAAAAATATTTCTGCAAAATAATAAAAAATATAACGTGAAAAAATATTATAGATATCTATGTATACATGACTTCTTGCCTAAATTGCTTGCTGTCCAATAGTTTAGAACTAAAACTGTTTTTTACATGGCGATAAACGGCATGTTTGCTAGCATTATAAATAATTTGCAAATTCGATGTTATTAAGGTAGTTACTAAAAATTAACTAATTATATTATCATATAAAAATTAAAATTAAACACAAACTAAGCCTCTTAAAAGATAATAGTATGTTTTTTATAAATTTACAGCACTTATTGAGTATATTTTTCATTTAAAATTAAAAAGATTAAAAAAACATGTTATAATTTTACCTTCATGGGTAGCATTCTCTTTGCACATGAGTCCGCACATCCTATGAGAGATATTGTAAGACGTCTACGAGAGTTTAAATACTGTAGTAAGGGTAGACTCTTCCTTGCTTCAGGATCTAAACTCTCAACACACTATGCACCACTGCCATGAACAAAAAAATACTTCAACCCACCATACGCAGGTTACTCAGCAGGAGGTGGATATAAAGTTTAAGGGCTACAGATTTCATAGATTTCCAAGTAACAGGATTATAACTTTTGTTAAAGTACTCATTTCTGAAATATGATATACAAAATGTAAATTTGAACAGTTTCATTTATCAATTTAAATTTGCTGGGCTCTGAATCTCTATTAGGTACTTATATACCTACATTTAAAAATATCTATACTAGACTACTTTTCTCTATTATACATACATGGTAAAAATAATATAAATATATCCCATTTATCCATTTTACATATGCATTTTATATAATTCGACAAATATTCACAACTTCAAAGATTTATTAAAGCATAATGTATATTCTTTGGATAGTTTATAAAGAAAATCTTCAATCAGATAGATTATACAATTTTAATGAAAATAAATACCATAATGAAATAATGTTTGGAGTGTTCCATTTGACTAATCAATATTTGCTATATCATGGAATATCAACTAAAAAACTAAAACCGTACACTGAGAGTTACTTAAATGTCTAACATAACAGTAATAAACTTATTACTTAACATGCAACAGTAAATTGTTAAATAAAATATAATTAAATATATAATCTATGTCTGTAATCAAATTTGAATGAAAGAAAAATTTTAATTTCGAAATTTAATACAAATTACAACTTAAAATTATGTTCCAAATTCGTTTAAACTTTTCCCAATAGTAAATAATTTTCATATCTGAAACTCATGATCAAATGAAAACGGCAACATTTTAAACAATTATAGTAAACTAATTATTAATCATTAATATTTTGGTCTAAAACTTGTGAGTTTAGCACCAAAATTATTTATTTACAACTTAAGAGATAAAAGAAAAGACAAGATGGAGACTAGGCGAGAAATATCGTTGTGGCGTCGAGATGTTATGGCATGGTCTAATGTAGTACATTTGCTAATAAAAAATAAAACTAAGAAATTAACATTTTTATAATATTTTTTTTTTCGTTTTAGAATCATAATAATTAGAGGAAGGTATACCGGTGCATATTTTGACGATTAGATACAAGGTATCAGACATAATAGAATTAATATAGCGTAAAGATGGATTTTTGCAAATGATATACTGGTGAGTTTCATAGGTAATGATACCTAACAAATATTACTTTTATCTGATTTCCCATAAAAGAGCAAAATTTAATAAAACAAGGTATATTTACGGAGATTTTTAACATACATATTTATTGAAATAAAATCTAATACCGTAAAATATCTAAATATTCACAAATATGAAGTTTAATTTGATGATAAAAGTTAAAGACAATTTCTCATTTACCAATTATTTTTTCTAAGTACATCTAACAGAATATTTTATAATATAACTTAATATGGAGATTATGAAAAAGGATAACTTAAAAATATGTATAAAAATAGAAAGATACATTGCATATTACAGTTGTAACAGAGTTAGGATAAAGAACTATTTAATAAAAACAATTATTTTAATGTTTACTTTATTATTAGAGGAGCATTTTGTAGAGTTTCTGTTACAAAATAGACGCGGTTTTTTAGTAAGTAATTCAAAATGCAATTCTTGACCATATTTCTAACAATTCGAAGCTGCAGGTAGCTATATTATACAAATAATATATATTTTTAATATTACATTAATAAATGTTAGCACTTATGCATACTATGAAGCTCATTGTATTATTAATATTTCAGTATTTGTTATTATTATATTCGTGTACAAATATTGCTCTGGTGACCATAACCAATCTATGATCTAGAGTTAAGAGTATGTATAAGTAATAAAATAAAAAGAAAAAAAGAGATGTACGAAAAATTTTTGTAAATTTTTTTGGGTTTGAGGGAATGAAGTTAAATCATAAATTGTGTTATAATTTTTTCAAACTACGTTTTCATACAACTTTGAATTGGATGCTTCAATTTGAAATATTTGTTATCATAGATAACTTTAGACAGCTATGGTTATGTATCTGAAACAGTATGTAATCTAGACACGATTTACGTGCAATCACTACGCTTACGTTTAGCTTAAGCTTCGTTTATTAAAAAGCATTGCATCTAATAAATTTCATATAAAGGAGTCACATATAAGCTAATTTTCACATTTACGATTTTTACATGGTATACATACAATCTTACGAAGCATATTTTTATCACAATATATGATGGTCCGAAAATCTTTATATCATCAATAGACAACAGACATTTTGAAAATTTTATTTCCTTTATTTACTGCTGTATATTCCATGTTTAATTCATTTATTTGAGAATATTTGATAAATCATATAAATATCTCCTGTATTTATTAAGTTGAAGAAGAAAGAATTTACTTAGTATAGCCATGTGGTCCGGGCATAGAACAGGCCACCTCTTCCTTTCTTGTGGGTGTCGTAAGAAGCAACTAAGGGAACTTAATTGTAGAGGGATGGGCAGCAGCGTTCCTTTTAAAGCATCTCTAAAAGCCCAACTATCTTGCCAACCCACCTGTTAAACATGGCAACTACTCGCAAAACTCCCCTTATGAGGAAGGCTTATTTTCAGCAGCGGACAGTTAACGGCTGAAATGGTGATGATGTTAGTATATGCATTGTGACATTTGAAATTATTTTTTATTACACAAAACATAGAGTTCTTAATAACATCTTATTTTGAATCTAGCTGTAGACTAACATTTTTTTACCTTAACGTAATGGAGAGCTGAATAAATGGCAAAATAAAATACTATATACAGCTGCATCTACCAATAGCTTAATATTCTTTGTAAAATTTAAAACAAACTCTATACAATGCACTAGTGTTAACTTCGTAACGTGTATTACGTAGTAAAAGTATAACGTAATTAATTCTAGCACACTCGATTTATATTTATAAAGTGCTGGACTGAAGCATTGAGCTGTTACTTTAATTCGTTAATTTAGATTGATAGAACATTCCATTAAAAATCTTTTCGCTATTATTTTTTCTTCGTTATGTTTTTTATTTAGTTAATTTCTGGAAACAAAATACTTCTTGGATATATTTATTATTCGTAGCGCCATCTAGTCATAAACTAAGAAGAGCTCGTGCAAAAGGTACTAGACGACTAGTAGATGTATTTTTTTTTTATAAATACAGAACATTGAAGCCCAGGCCAATGGAAACATACTAATGAATAGAAATATTTGTATTGTGCCGAGATTGGGATCAAATTTAAACTTTAGAAGGTGAAAGAGTGTGTTAAAACGTCATTAAACTTGTACAATGAGGAAAAAAACTCAAAGTTTATGGTTTTAAACAAGATCGCGGTTTTGCAATTTTTGTGGAATGACTTAAATGTTCCTTTATATAAATTCAACAAAAAAGCGTTTTAAAAATAAGTGGCGCCATCTGTATCATGTTTAAATTCGACAAATATTTAGGAGGTAGTTTGTGAAAATGTCTCCTAACTAGCACATATCGTTATTGCATAAAAGACTGCATGATTTGTTACAATTTCTATGTGAACCACTCAACCCTAAGTAGTATAGGAGTTGCTTTATTACTTGTAGCTACAGACAACTAATCGCCATCATTGCCTAACTTCACACCGTATTGACAGAAGAGATAATTTAAACTTTCTTTTTAAAGAAATAGAATTGTAAATTCACTGAAATGAATTTGTTATATGTATTATGCATCTTAGGTACTTATTGATTAAAGTGAAGGGTCGATGTGTTCCTTCGGTGCGGGTGGTAGTACGTGAACTTGCTTCGCTTTCCCCGCGTGGTATACTTGTCCAGGACTGAAAGGCTCCAAACGAGGGTGTGCTGAGATGTCTTTCTTTGGATCTGTATATGACAATATTACAATTAGTTAGGAGTTCATTTGTACATTAGAATCTAAATGGTTACATAGAATGCAGTTTCAGAGGGCCTGCTGAAAACCATGGATCTGATTTTATAATATTAAATGTATTGAGGTTTTCGAAAAAGACTACAGACAAATCTTAAAATATCTTAAAAAAAAAATTAAATCTGTAATTAGCTAATGGCCCGCCACATAGCGGTATTTGTCTTTTAAAGCAGAGAGGGTATTGTTACTAACTGACACTAATTGCCACATTGCTAGCAATACGAGTATATCTCTGAGAGATCACTCTTGGAACATTTATATGTAGTCAAATCATCTTAATGACAACAGACTTGACTTTGTTTTTCTTTTTTTATTCAATAGGTTTAAGCTAGTGGAGTAGTAATGGGAGGAGCATAAGAGAGGTGACCATATAATTAATAAAAAAATTCTATAGACATGAATAGTACTAACGATATCATAGAATATCTATTTACCATCTATATAATAATCTAATTGTTTACCATCACTTAGACATTACAATTCCTGATGACTGTGATATACTAGGTAACGTCACTCATATTCTTTTTTCAAACCGACTTAAACCTTGCAACCAATACTGACCTTTGGTATTGGCAGCAATGTATTTGGAGAGTCGGACGGTGGGTAACGGTAGGTAGCCAGCGGCTAGCGGCATCACGTCCAGGCACACGTCAGCTGGCGAACCGCTGCTCGACTCCATCGTTATTACACCTGCAAATATATTATTGGGGGCATTTTTTAAATTACTTAAAAGAGGTTTTCAATTCATATGTATTTCTCTTATGTATGTTACGCGACGTTTTTGTTAATAAATTTTGAATCGATTTTCATGTTTTTTTAACAAGCGATAGGTTTTACTTCCATGACACCATATCATCATCGAATCAGCCATTATCAGTCCATCACTGAACACAAGCTTCCCCTATTTTTTTAGGCTTTTTGCTAGTAGTAGCCACGCTTGATAGATGGGTTAGCAACTGCAGTTAGGCTTTTGTTGATATTTTAAGAGGGACGTTATTATGTTCCCCTAGTCTCCTTTTACGACACCCACGGGAAAGGAAGAGTTGGCCTATTCTATGCCAAGGCCACATGGCAACTTTCAGGACAGTCATAAGTTAATTTTATTACTATTGAATTTTATGTTACATAGGGGTCAAATGAACCGTTAATACCGATTATAAGAAATACCGCTATTAGGTGACAAACAAACGAACTATTACGTCTATAATATTAGTAAGGATATAGGCAATAAATAAATACAATTTAGGTACAGAAGCATACACACTAATCCTCATAAATGTATTTATTTTTTTAAAATAATTTATCGTAGCATTATCGTACAATTTTATCGTCGTGATAATTTTTTATCGGATTCATCATTAAAACGGTATCGTTTTATACAATTTTAAACATTCAACTCTTTTATTATATCTTTGTATTTTATTATATTTACTTATTGATAAACTATAATAATTTTTTAGATAAACTATATAAACATACCTGCAGTGCGGCCTAGAACTGCCCACATAGTTTGATCAGCTAACACCTCGTACATAAGGGATGTATATTCAGTTTCATTTACCTATAAAAAAAAAAAAAAAACTTTTAAAATTTCATTGAAATCTAACATTAGCTTTATTTTGTGTCTGTATTTTGAAATAATTACAATATTTCAATTTTAAACTTGGAGCCGATCAAAAATAATATAAAAATAAACACTAAATCGATTTAAAAAATTACATTCACTTATAAAAAATATATTAACAATGAATAACATACATACATTGTACTTTATTTAAAAATCCATGCGAAGGCGAGGTGAGATGCTAGTCTATACTAATATTATAAGGAGAAAATATTTTATTTTTTGTATGTTTGTTTGTAATGGATAAACTCAAAAACTACTTAAATAAATGTAAAAAATCCTTAACCTATAATAAGCTAGATTATCAGCAAGTAAGATTAGCTATATATTAATTCACTCTTGCGCCACCTGCCCTTTTCTATCTGTTCTCCCTTAACTAAAGGTTGTCTGTAAGAGATTGCCCTAGCGATAAGACCGCCTTTTGTACCTTTATGTGTATATTTCAATCTGTATTTATGTTACTGTATTTCATTTGAATTATTCACTTGTCATTGTATATTTTTATTTATGGTGCAATAAAGAGTTAAATAAATAAATAAATAAATATATATTATTATTTATTTACTCATGCGAAACTGGGGTGGGTAGCTAGTAGTATATAATTATATACTAACCCTTTGCACGCTCAGATGTAAACAGCACACCTGCGACGCTCTACAGAAGTCAGAGCCTTTACTCGGTTCCACTTTAGTTCGGATCACAAACAGCGTCATGTAATCTTGTATATCGAACGGACACGAGAATGTTCTATATGGTTCGTCTGTATCGAGAGGACGGTATTCCACTGTAAACGTCGCTTTCAACGGTTCAGCCTTAACTAGAGGATCTTTCAGGAGCTCCCACATGAACGACACCGTCGTACCATCTGGGGATACCACCTGCAAGTTTTGAGAAAAAATATTTTAAAATCTGATGTAATTTTCATGAATTTACGAGGGCATTTTTATGTGTATAGATGTAGAAACATTGATAGAAGTAAAAAAAATATGCAAATTAATTTACTAACTAAATCTTTAAAAAATATACGAAATATTACATGTTCCAAAGTTATTTAGCAGACTGTGTAAGTAAGTAATATTATATCAGAAAAAAATAGTTTCCAATTAATATTTAAGAAATTGATCAAATTTGGTAAATTTTTAATCCAATTACTTGCAACACTGAAAAAAAATGGCGTTCTTTATTTTAGTTTAAAATATATATATATATATACATTTAAAAAAATATATACATATATATATTTTTTATACAACTTAGAATCGCAAACAAGATGACGGTCCACCTGATGGAAAGTGGTAACTGTCGCCTATAAACATGAGCAGTACCATGGGCATAACAGAGTATACTGTTTTGCCCATGATACCTCCCATTCCTGAGGACTCAGGTGTTATTCCTTCGTATCCTGTAAATTCACGCCATATCTTATCCTTCAAACCGAAACACAGCCATGCAAACACAACTGCTTCACGGTTGCAATACGAATGGGACAGAGGTACTCGAGCAATTGACTTTTGTACAGTCTCCCACTGGTGATATTTGTCAAATTAAATCAGCTAAATGTCAATTTAGCTGAGTATTAGTTGAGAGGTTTTTGACAGTGGATGGTGTATGTATAGTATAGTAGAGGCGGGCGGGCGGTACCATGTGCCGGGTGGCGGGCGGGTTGAGGTCGGCGAGCGCGGCGCCGCGGCAGGCGAGCGCGGGCGCGGCGAGCGCGAGCGGCGGCGCGCGCGCGGGCGGCGGCGCGCCGCGCAGCGCCACGTGCACGAACTTGCGCGCGTGCGCCGTCAGCAGCCGCCACGCCGGCGCCAGCGGCCGCGCCCACTGCAGCCGCACCTCCTCCGCGCCCGCCCGCCACGGGCACCGCACCACCACCTGCCGACACACACGCCACATATTTTATTACAATAAATTTTATAATAAGCATTTTTTAGTAGTATCGTATTCTACGCACGTACGCATAAACACACACGCACGCACACACAGACGCACGCGCGCACGCACACACACACACACACACACACACACACACACACACACACACACACACACACACACACACACACGCGCGCGCGCGCTCACACACACACATACACACGCACGCAGGCATACACGGACACATATTTTTTTTTATGAATCTACCACCCAGTTCGGATGCAATTTCAACTGGGCAAAAAACATAGCAGTTGTTTTTTTTCCACATAAAAGTTGAGTTTACAAAAAAAAATATGAATGGATAACATAACTTTTACAAACTTCGTGCTGATATAAAAATAGAAAATAAAAAGCTACAATCAATTACAGTATTCTTAAGTAGACCAGTCCCCAAACACATTTCTATAAAAAATAGTATTTTTAATCATGAGCTAAATTCACTTTTCAATCGCGTAAAGGATTCTCTTCTCAAGGATTTTATTAACCATATCTTTTTATTAAAAAGATTTACTTTTATACTAACTTTAGCAAATATGACGTCGATTTTTTTCGTCATAATAATAATTATTGTCTGCGTTAATATAATTAAAATTTTGTGTTGCTTTAATATAAACAATTATGTGATCCTTTTGGTTGGATCTTGTATCATATTTCAGTAAATTACTTTAATTTTGAAAAAGTTCAAGTAAAATGAGAAAATATTATAATATTAAAAAAAAATGATATTAATAAAATATTGATAAAATATAATAATTACGGTATGTTCTATGCTTTTTTCCGGTCTGGCTTGCAAGTTAGCGAAGAGTTTCAGCGGCACGCGGGTAGTCTCGAACGGTTTGCAGGCCGGTATTGGTATAGACAGTTCGCGTGTCATGGGTGATCCCTTCTCAGCTAGACCTATTTGGAGTCCGGCTGATGTTTTTAGATCTATTGTGGCATTCTGGAAAAAGAGATAGAAAAGCAAAATAGAATGTGTTGTACTATAAAATAAACATTATTAAAAACGCTTTGGTTATGAGTATCCATTAACAATTCAGGGTATTTGCGGGTGTTATATCAATTGGAATACGATATTATGGAAATTTTTGCTAGCAATGTCAGGTTAACTTCTATGGAGACGCTCTAGGAAAGCATCGTAGTTAATTCTAGTGAACATCGTAGTGTAACACACTACACAGTAATTGTTCACACGTAATTGTTTATCTGCATCAATTTTCAATTTTTTCACCGCATAATTACATTTCTGTTTTGCCAAAGGTTGACTGGGAGAGAATGCTATATATGTAGTATTAAGTCTGCATTTTGTACCAGACATTTTGTTTGGTAATGTGGTCAATAAATTTTTTTTTTTTTTTTCCCTTGTTATCTGCAATCGGCTCTTCCATAACAGCCATAATCAGATGGAGTCATGTGTGAAAATTAGCGTTTTGAGAAGCAGTCCACTGACAGCTCTCTCAGAATGATTTTGTAGAGCTCTTCAAACTCTAGTGTCAAGGTTCAATACAAGCCATCGTCTCAGTCTTGTAGATTGTTGTGCTGTTAGTAATTCTCCAGCCAGGTCATTCGTATGATTTATAAGGCGCTGTTTATATTTTTTGCTGTTCATCCTTATCTCTTCTTTAACAGTATTAATTTGCATATAGTTATGTATCTCCTCGTTTCTAACAAACCATGGAGATTTAGTAATGTTTCTTAAAATTATGTTCTGAAATCTCTGTAAAATCTCTATATTGGAATTACTAGCAGAACCCCACAGTTGGATCCCGTAAGTCCATATAGGTTTTATTATGCATTTATACACAAGCATCTTGTTGTTTAATGATAGTGTTGAATTTCTTCCTATTAGCCATGATAGATTTTTGCATTCCAGGTTTGCCTGAGTTCTCTTAGTCTTAATATGTTTTGCCCAAGTGAGTCTTCTATCCAGGTGCATTCCCAGATATTTAACACTTGTTACTTTTGGTAGATTTTGTCCCTTCATTTGCACCGGTGTTGCATCTCCCTTTCTTAATGTGAATGTAATGTGGTGGGATTTCTCTGTACTACATTTTATTCGCCATTTATCCAACCAATAATCAACTTGATCTAATTGTGCTTGAATTTTCTGTGATGCCACATGGGGGTCTGTGTCACTTGCCAAGCATGCTGTGTCATCAGCGTAAGTTGCTATTGTTATATCATTTGTCACAGGTAAGTCCGCCGTATATATTGAATATAGTACAGGTCCAAGAACGGACCCTTGCGGGACCGACGCACATAAATTGTAGAATTTTGAATAAGCTTCACCAGATTTAACTTGGAATATTCTATCTGCAAGATAAGACTTCAAAATCATATAAAATGAATTAGGTAGTTGTGTTTTAAGTTTATATAACAACCCCTTGTGCCATACTTTATCAAAAGCTTGTTTTATATCGAGGAATACAGCAGAGCAATATTCTTTTTTTTCAAACGATTCTCTAACTTTTTGTATAACTCTATGCACCTGTTCAATTGTTGAGTGTTTTTCTTTAAATCCAAACTGATGATTAGGTATGATTTTGTTCTCATTTAGAACTGGTCTCAATCTATTAAGTAATATTTTTTCAAAGACTTTTGACATTGTAGGCAAGAGACTTATTGGTCTATATGATGTAACTTCGTTGGGACTTTTTTCAGGTTTCCGAACCATGCACATCTGTGATACTTTCCAGAGCGCAGGATAGTAATGCAATCTAAAGATAGCGTTAAATATCATAGTCAAGAATACCACAGCCTTTCTGGGCAGTTTATTGAGCACTTCTCCTGTTATCAAGTCATAGCCTGGTGCCTTTTTACTTTTTAGATAGCGTATATATCCCGCTGTTTCCCTAGGTGTGACAAGTTTCAACATAGGAGAAAGTTGTTGATCACTATTCAAGACCCTATCTATTTCTTCCTCAAATCCTATCATATCTGACTGGTTTGCAGTGAAGACTTCCTTTAAATGTTCAGCAAATAATTGAACCTTTTCTTCGTCTGTTTGGGCCCACGTATTAGATTTTGTTTTAAGTGGTGGTATGTGTTGAATTGGTCTTTTTAAATTTTTTGTTACTTTCCACAATGAATAATCATCCTTTTTTGTGGAAGATAAACTTTTAAGCTTGTTATCCAGTGTATTGTTCACATGCAAATCAATCATCAACGTAAGTTCTTTCGCTGATCTATTATAGGCTTTTTTATCAAACATATTCCTACTTTGGTGCCACTTTCTACGTAGTCTTCTTTTTTCACAAATTTTTTCCCGTATCTCTACTGTTATGTAAGGTGCCCGATCTTTTTCCTCCAGGTCTGGGGATGAACGCCATGCTGCTTCTTGTATTAGGTTGGTTATATAAAATGTCGCATCATCTAGATCTTCTTCAGTTTTTAGATTGATCTTCAGATCAATTCTATTCTCCAGATAATCAGCAAATGCGTCCCAATCTGTTCTTTCATTATACAGGGTTAAGGGTCTTTTTCTCTTTAATATGACAGTACTGATTGTAGCTATTACTGGAGTATGATCAGAGGAGCCATCAAGGCATGATTCCACAACGGTATATAGATTGGACAATCCTTCCACTATATAAAAATCAAGCAAATCAGGTGTCTTATTGATATCAGTTGGCCAGTAAGTTGGTTCACCGGCTGACATTGGATGTAGTTTCAATCTATCAACACAAGTTTTTAGGTGTCTTCCTCTTGTTGTACTCAGTCTAGACCCCCAGAATGTATGCTTTGAGTTCCAATCACCTCCACACACAAATCTAGAACCCAATGTCTTGAAATAGGTAGCAAATATTTTATCGCTGATTTTTTCATTTGGTGGACAATATATGGCACTAATGTTTAATGTTCCTTTACAATCCATAACAGTAACTGTTGTAGCTTGCAGGTATTTTTCTTCAATTTTATTATGCAGGTAGTGTTTTAGGTTATTCCGAATGATAACGGCTGTACCACCATGCGATCGCCCATCAGGATGGTTAGTATTATAGACATCATAGCCTTTTAGTTTATATGTTTTACTATTATTAAGGTGTGTCTCTGATATGAGGATGACATCAAGTTTATGTGTTTTTATTAGAATCTCTAACTGGTCACTATTGGGAAGTAAGCCGTTTATGATCCATGTTGCTATTTTAAAATCCATTTTAGACATTCTTACTGATTAGCTTTGTGACAAGATTCATCAGTGAAGTCATAGTTTCTAAGATACGGTCGACTTTTTTTGACTGTTTTAAGAATAGCTCTTCGATTCTATGTAAGGTGGTAGTTTCATGTGAATTTATTTTACTTGCGTTACTTTCACAGTCGTTACGATTGTTTCTCTGTGACTTAGAGTCATCTGTTCTTGTTTTTTGATCTTTTCGTGTATTCACTTTAAAATTAGTTTCTATTTTATTTACTATCTCGCTGTATGCAGGTATTATTTTATTCTGGGTTTCTTTCATATATATTTCTTCTTTTGGATCTTGTTTCTTGTTTATTTTAGGTAATGGTGGGTATTCTGATTTATTGTTTGTAATGTCAATTAGTTTATTAGAATTTTGCGGTCTCTGGATATTTTTTCTCATCGTCCTTGCTCTTATTTCTTTGTAAACTTGACAGCCTTTGTAGTTAGCTGGATGTTGCCCTGAACACAGCGCACATAGAGCTGGAACATTTTTCCCGATATTGCAATCTGTAGTTTTGTGAGGTCCGGCACACTTAACGCATCGAAAGGGTCTCATGCAATTGTTTTTACTATGACCGTACTGTTGACATCTCATGCACTGTACTATATTGCTAGTTTTTTTTGGATCCTGTATTTGTATCCGCTGGTGATAGATGTAGGTTATGTCTTTGACTCTTTTATTGTTTTCATGTGGCTCTAGATTTACAAAAAAAGTATTAAGAGGTTCTTTTGTTCCTTTGACTCTTGCAATTATTATTTCGCCTTTAACTTTATTTCCTGTTTCTTCTATAGCTTTTATTATTTCTTCTTTGGGAGTGGAATGATGAAGGTGTTTGATGACAATCTTTTGGCATCGTTCTTCTTTTCTTGTAAAAGTGTGTCCAATTAGGCCTTTGCTTCGTATGTGCTCAATAAGTGACTTATATTTTTCAACATTGAATGAGGATATAATTAATTGATTTTTGGAAGTTATTTTGAATGTGTAGTCTTCTTTACCTATTACTTCTTCGATAAATTTGGCAAGTTTGCTGAGGTCCTCGATTCCATATAGAATTATAGGTGGTGGTTTAGAAGATATCTTTTTTGTTTTATTTATTACAGCTTCACTGTCTTCTACATCTGTGTTCAAGCCATCAAACTTATTACTTGTTTCTATAGTGAGATCTACTACATTCATATTATTTTTTAATTTATTGGACTCTGTTTGTCGTTTTTCATTGACTTTTGTTTTCTTTATTATTGGATTTGATTCTGGGGATATGACTCTTTTATGTTTTGGCCCTGGAGCTCGTTGCCATGATGGTCTTTGCTGGTTATCTTTTGTAATCTGTTGTCCGAGTAAATTTGATTCACTATTTGATTTCTCCCTACTGTAGAACATGCTTCTATGGAAAGTCTGTTGGGTGAATTTAGTGTGTGGTGTAGTTTTTAACACAATTTCTGTGTTTACAGTGGGCTTTATTATGTTTTCATTTTGGTCAATAAAATATAAATAAATAAAACGTCATCACATATCATTTTTATCTATCATACCTCTTTCAATAATTCGTACACGGCTGCTATTTGAATGGAGAGGTATGGCAATGTCACTAGGTATAAAGGCATAATATCATAGTTTTTAGGAATATCAACATAAGAGATAGACATGTGTGATATCCTGCACTCCATGTCTATAAATGACGTTCCTATCAGTTGGGCCACCTGCTTGAAGACATTTAGACTATTTATAATAGGAAACTGGGAAACTATAGTATAAAATAACCAACCTCTTCTATATGCGAACTTCCACTGGTCACAACCAACTCCATAGCATGCTCTAGTCCAGCCACCAGGTCCTTCTTCGGGTCCACTTTATTCAAATACACACTGATGCCCTGTGTCACCACTTCGAATCCCATTTTCGTGCCGATCAGTGCATTAGAGAGAAATTCTAACTTTCCCTCCACTATTACTGATACTTGTCCTAACATGAAAGTACCACATTTATTTGATATAAATTCTAAGTCTATCTCATTTAAGCCGGGCTTCAGTTTGAATTCATCCCGATGAAATGAATTCTGATAATTGCTCCTAGTTGTGGTGGATGGTTTCCTATATTTGGTGCTGTCAGATCGTTTGAGTGTCGCTTTAGGATTTTGACACTCCACTGTAGCTTTTTGCAATGTTTTATCTTCTTTGTAGTGCAATTGAGAGGTAATTTGTAGTGGATTTAATAAAAGATTCTTAGGTTTTAAATCGTCCAGTCTTATACTGAAAAAAAAAAAAGGTTAAGCATTTTATTCACATATGTTATCCTATAAAGTAAGCTATATACGAGATATTCTCGTCAACTGTGAATCAATTTTATTTATATTCGGACGGACTTTTATTAAATTTTTACAAATTCTTACAAATACAATACAATACACCATCAATTCTTACAAAAATATTAATTGTCAATACATTACTTACTTATACCATAAAGTAAATATGACAATATGGCGTTTCTCTTTTAAGTATTACTAGTTAATTTTAAACTTTTACCTTCTTATTCATAAAAACTTCAAACGTCTCATAAAACATTTCAGCTATTGAAATGTTTTGTCTCTTTCTTTTGTGATAAATTGTCAATTTAAAAGAAAGTGACAAAACAGTGTAATAGTTAAATAAGGTTTGTGTGGGGTACATTTTAATTTTTATAAATAAGGGGATTAATTTTGTATACATATTCGTATTATAATTTTTTGGAAATTAAGGCGACGTGAATGTAGGTAAATAGTATAAATTTAGATATATATGCACTGTTAAACAGTTTATCTCTTCTTTACGTATAAAGACAAATTAAAAAGAAGTTGCTTAATTATAATTTGTAAAATAACTTCACTCACCTACTAACTATATTAGATAATTCACTTTCGACAACGTCCGAAGTCGACTTCCTCGGTGAATTCGTTTGCGTACTTACACTACCGTTTACAGTTAAATCAGTCTTATAACATTTGACCGGCGTCCTTTTTCCGCTTTCATTTCTATCCTCTTTACAAGGTTCTATGCTGATGGCCGTGCGAGTACACGTGACCTCTTTAGGCAGGTTACACTCGAGAAGCAAGCGACATTGAACCTTATTATCTGTGATATAAACACCACGCTCGGACGGTATTAGAGTTGCGGATACTAATTTGAAACAGTCATTGAGCTCTGCTAGCACCGTGTCTTGTTTATCTGATAACTTCTCCTTTATGCATTTCAACATTTCTTCAAAGTAGAAGTTTCTGACTAGAATCTCCAATTCGGCTGTACACGCTATTGTTGCAGAGAGCTTTGTATATCTGGAATTATATTTAAAAACTGTATAATACCTAACATAGGCCTCGATACCCTGTAACTTCAATGGCATATTATCAGAGGGAGACTTTGTACAAAAGTCGATCGCTTGGGCACCTCTGTCCAATTCGTGTTTCAACCGTGAAGCAGTTGTGTTTGCATGGCTGTTTCGATTTGAAGGGTGGGATATGGCGTGAATTTACAGGGTACAGAGGAATAACACCCGAGTCCTCAGGAATGGCAACGCATGGGAGATATCATGGGCGAAACAGTATACTCTGTTATGTCCATAGTATTGCTCATGTCTATAGGCGACCGTTACCACTTTCCATCAGGTGGGCCGTCAGCTTGTTTGCCATTCTAAGTTGTATAAAAAAAAAGTCCACTCTTTAATCTGTAATACAGCGCAGCTACGTCACGGTTGAAGTACTGATAGGAGAGAGATAGTCATGCAAATAAGCTATCTTATAACCTACCTGTCCATGTCATTCATCTTGTGAGCAGCAGCGACGAGCTCAAGTCTGGTCTGCGCGGCAAGGTCCCGCCAGCCTTGCTCCTCGTAAGACCGCAGCGCATCCATAAGGAATACCACCGCTTTACCAGTCTCGCCCAGCTCTGAATAGAAAGAGGCTAAGTCTCGACCGATTAGGCGGGCGAATCTGAAATTTATGTTCATAGAATGAAAGTCGAATGCTGTAGCAAAACAATATTTTGTCGACCTACCGCGTGATAAATATTTATAATACCAATTTCTACATAATAATGCAATTTTCACAACCTACTTATCATACAGTGTTGGACATGTTTAACTCATACTTTTGGGGTGAGAAGGGGTTATTATTTATAGAGTTTTTTTTAATGGGTGATAATGATATGGTAACCCCACCCACGCTATTGGTATACACTGGCGGGGCACAAGTGAAGAATGATAGGTGAGGATGAAGCAGGTCAGTTAGCCCATCGTGACGAATTCAATAAGAATTGTTCACGATGGTTTCCAGGGGGAACCACGTGGAGGTCGACCTAATAGGGTATATTTCTAATAATAGGGCTGTCGAATCTCTATTGCTAACAATCCCTTTCCCCCCTATTTATAGGGTTTAGCAGCCCTATTGCTAGCAATATATATTGCCAGTTAAAAATCCATGCGGTTTCCCCTGAAAACCATTTTGGTTAATCTTAACGAAATCATCACAATGGGCCAATTGACTTGCTTTCATCCTTACCTATCATTCCTTAACGGTGTCCTGCTAGAGTATACCGATAAAGCAGGAATGAGTTACGATTCCATTATCATCCATTAAAAAAATGCATCTGAATATTGTGTATATAGTACCTGTACATAAAAATAGTACTAACCTTAATCTTCCAATGTGTTTGTAGGTCCCCATAGCCATTTCAGCCAATTCCAAATAATACTGTTGGAAACTGGTTTTACTGCACAGCGCTTCCTTCAGTCTGTCCGTTGGTGTGGGCTGTTGGTTGTTAGGTTCACTGTCTCCCATGCCAGCGGAAAGCATGACAACTAAATGCAGTTGCTCTGAGCTGGGATCCGGAGAGCCGGGGAGAAGACCACATAGTTTCCCTAGTTCATGTAACTGCAAGTGAATGAATTTCACTAATAAATATTTCATCATTATTATCATAATAGAAAAATAATTCAATATTTGAACTAATGTTTAGGTTTTCTAGAAAAAAAAAAAAAAATAATATATAATATATATATATATATATATATATATATATATATATATATATATATTTATCATCAATTTATATGCCAAGTGCTCTATATGGTACATATACATAGTACATCTCTTGCTTTCTACACATTTAACTCATTTTAAACATGTATACAATGAGTAATATATATATATATATATTGAACGGTGTGGACTGCCGTTCGGTGAGCGTGGACTGTAGGGGCGTTGGTTCAGGCTGGAGTGAAACACAGGGATTACTATTCTGAAGCCTCCGGTACCGTCTGAAGAGAGTATTTTTTCTTCTTGCCCTATTTCTTCTATAGTGCGTCGCTGCCCGGAAGCGAATGCCGCTCGACGAGAGGCGGCCTATCTTTATACCCGCCCGCTCACACGATATATATCTGTATAGCGGGACGGGGCGAAAATACGCGTGTCTCTTCAGATCGGTACTCTATAGCGTCTATTTATTTATTTTATTTCAATTTACAATTTCTTAATTCTATTTATTGTTACAATTTCTATTCGTAGGTAATAATGACAACACGCAAAGGAATACTTTATTTAACTTACACTATCTTAAATCTATGTAAATCTATATAAAATAACAGAATACAGAAACGATTAACTAGGGACTTAACAACTATAAATTACGATATATACAAATAATGTCGCGAACATAATCTCCCGCCGCAGCTCTCGTAGCTGGAGTTAACTCGTGTTCGCGTCGCTCGATGTCGATGTGGGCAGTATGATCAGCTTCTTAGTGGGTCGCCGTAGGATGCCCTTGTTCGTCCGCACGTCGACCGCTCGGATCTCGCCGTCTGGTCCAGGGTAGGTCGTCACCACCACGCCTCGCGGCCACGTGTTGCGAGGCAAGGTCCCATCAGCTATCAGGACCAGGTCGTCCATTTTGATGGCTCCGTGTGTAGCTCGGGGCTCCCGCCGGTGTTGCAACTCGGCTAGGTACTCCTTCACCCACCGGTTCCAGAAGCAATCAGCTAGCCTCTGGCTGGCACGCCACTCCTTGTGTCCCGCCGCGTCGCTCTCGGTGAAGCTGCCTGGCAGTGGGACGCGCGATGGACCGCCCAATATGAAGTGATTGGGGGTTAGGGCGCTGTCGTCGTCTGCCGATGTTGACACGTGGGTTAGCGGTCGACTATTGAGGGTGTGCTCGACCTCGACCAGCAGAGTGTGGAGGACCTCTTCCTTGGGGGCCCGCTCGTTCAACGTAGCGGCTAGTGCGGTCTTCACGCTACGCACCAGCCGTTCCCACGCACCTCCCATGAAGGGTGCGCTCGGGGGAATGTAGCGCCACCGGATGAAATGGACTGATGACTCTTCTTGGATGGCTTCCTCGGCTGCTTTCTTCAGTTCGACGTCAGCACCTTTGAGGTTGGTGCCTTGGTCGGACCATAGCTCAGTGGGACACCCTCTGCGGCTTATGAAGCGCCGCAGGGCCATTATGGCGGAGTCCGTGCTGAGGCTGCCGGCGATTTCCAGGTGGACTGCGCGCGTCGTTAAGCAGGTGAAGAGCACTCCGTACCGCTTCTGGTGAGTGCGGCCCACTGTCACGGTCATAGGCCCGAAGTAGTCTAGGCCGGTGAACGTGAACGGTCGTTGATGATGCGCCAGCCTGCTCTGTGGATGGTTGCCCGTTGACGGCTGCGCCGGTCTTGCTCTTCGTAGGCGGCACAGCTGACACCTCTTCAGTTCACTGCGGACGGCGTGTCGTAGGCGCAACACCCACAAGTGTTGTCGCACCTCGTTCGTGGTGATCTCGAAGCCGCCGTGGTGAAGTTTCTGATGCACCCATGCGATGTATAGGCGCACCCAGGCGTGGTTTCCGTCGACGATGGGGGGCTCTCGTTGCTCGGCTGACAAATCGGCGGCGGCCGCTATTCTCGATCGAAGTCGCAGAATGTCGTCGTTGTCTATGACGACCGACAGCTGTATGAGTCGACTGGATGACGGCAGCTGTTTCCCATGTTTCAATACTGCGATTTCGTTGCCGAACGCCTCTTGTTGTATCGCGCGAATCCATAGTCGTCGCGCGCGATCTAGGTAGTGTGTGTCTATGGGGATGAAACACACAGATGGACTATTGCTGTTCTTGATTTTCATCTTCGTCTTCTCTCTATCGACTTTCTTCGTGCGGGTCCAAGTGGGGTCGGTGCTCTCTTTCTTCTTGTTCCTCTTTCGGATGGCGGTGCAGCGTTGACTGGTCGGTCGCAGGAGGTCGATGAACTGCAACACTCGTGCTGAACTGCGAACAAGTTTCAACCAATTAGAAAAACGTGACGGATCGGGTAATGCTATAGACAACTGCGTCGCGTTCTGTAGCTTGTGTACGCGTTCTTCTCCCGTTTCCGCTTGACTATCGTCGCTCGTACTATCTTCACGCGGCCACTGTTCTTCGTTTTTGTCGAAATTCCTTTCGACCGGTCGGAGACGTCGCATTGCCGATTCGTAGTTGTCCGGCGGCACAGGGTCGTCCTTCTTCCATAATAACCCCGTCTCGTATCCTCCCGCCGGTAACGGACGAGTTTTCTCCTCTAAGATGCGTAGGGCGCGACGTTCTTCTTCATTGTAAGACCTCTTCGGTGCGATCCCCAGCGATTCGAGCGCGAAATGTTGCTTCATCATTTCTTCCATCGATTGTTCCTCTTCATGTGTCGTCACTATGTGGCTGATTCTGTGCACCTGCTGTCTTGTACTCGTATGCAGTACCCATCCCAGATCGGTGAGTGATGCGATATATCGGATCCTCTTCTGACTTCGTGGGCCAGCAGTAGGTGCCAGTTGTCTTGCCCCAACAGTACCGTCGGTTTGCCCTCTTCATAGACCAACTCCTCTCTATGTCTCGTAGATGTGGACAGCCCTTGATGATGCGCGGTACCGACTGCGGTGATAACTGCAGTCTGTCCATCGTCCGTGCCCCCACTGTGTATTCTTGTGAATTCCGCCCGCGGATCTTGAAGTGAACACGCGTCGATTGAGCTGCGTTGATCCGTGCCCCGGCCACACCTTCCATGTAGAATGGTGCGGGGGGACCCGTAGCACCGATTCGCTCCGCCACCGTCGTCTCGATGATGGTGCAAGTCGACCCGTCGTCCAGTAGCGCGTAGGTGTCGCACGTTCCCGTGGGACCGGTGACTCGTATCGGCAGGATCTTCAGGAACGCGATCTTGTCGTTTTCCCTTGCCGATGCGGTGACTGCGGCGGACTTGTCCTCGACGACGTGTGTCGTTACTTCATTCTCCGGCTGTTGTCGCGTGGTGTGCAGCAGAGGGTGATGAGTCTGCGTGCACTCATCTACTCCACATCTCTTGCTCTTGCAGGCGTGGCGAAATCTTCTTACTTTGAGGCAACGGAAACACAGCCTATGAGTCTTCGCTAACTCCCATCTCGCCGATGTGTCTGCTTCCTTCATCGTCTTGCAGTCCGATGGAGCGTGTCCCTCTCGTCGACACATCGGGCACGGTGGTGTAGCGGGTTTCTCCTGCGTCGTGTATGTCTTCGCCGTCTTCCTAGGAGCGGACTCCCGCCGGTCTTCGGACGGTATCTCCTCGGCGGGGGCGAAGTTTCCACATCGTGCGGCGGTCCTTTGCAGGAACTGAGAGAGTGTTATGAGGTCCGGTTGTCCCTCCGGTTGGTCGTTGGCGAAATCGTAGTACTTGAAGCGTAGTACCGACGGCATCTTCTCTGTGACGTTTCTCACTATTTCTTCGTTGTAGAGGTAGTGACTCTTGTTCAGCGCTCGTATCGTGGCGACGACGTTCTGCACCTTGTTTGCGAAGAGGCAGACGTCTCTTGCGTTGTCCGAGAGTCGTGGTAGCGCGCGGAGTTTGTTCAGTTCGGCTGTGACGAGTGCTCCAGGGCGGCCGAACCTCGCGGCTAACATCTTCATTACTTCTTCTGCGGTCGTAGACCCGACGAATAGGGAGCGTGCCGCGTCCTTTGCGGCCCCCTTCAAGCTTCTGCGCAGTCTTGCTAGGTTCACTTGTTCTGTGAGTTGACTTGCGCTCTCTTCATAGGCCATCTTCCATGGTAACCACTCGCTCGACGATCCATTGAAGACTGGCAACTCGGTGACTCTTGACGCTGTGGAGGGCAGTATGTTGCGAGCGGCCATCTGCATGGCGATCGCAAACTCATTGCAATCGATGCCCACCTTCAGCACCGGTTCTTCTTTCTTCATCGACTGCATCGCTGCTGCTATCGTAGGAATGGCGGCATGTGGGTCAACGTGGCGTGCGTGGTCCCGGTGAAGTGCGTCGCTGCTCGGCTGTGGCGGCGGCGCTCTCGAATCCTCTTCAACGGGTCTCGATGGGACGAACCCCTGACGCTTGCCGGTGACTTCTTCTATCTCTGGTACATGCGGCTCCATCGTGAGTGCTAGCGTGCTTCGATGAACCCAATCCGACGTTCGTTCTCTTCTGACGGTAGCGTCGTCGTCTTCTATTTCCTTGTCGTCTTCCGATTCGGCTTCCAGGGCGGCGATACGTGCAGCGGCCAATTCCACCTCCTTTCGAAGTAGCTCCTCCCGTGCCTTGGCCAGAGCCTTCTTCTTCTGCGAGGCCGTGGTGCGAACCGTGCGTGCCGTGCCGTGCTTCGGTTCCTTCTTCCTTGCTGTCTCCTCTGTCGTTCCTGTGGCTTCGGTAGTCTCCGTGGCTCCTGTGGTCGTCGTATCGCCGGACGTGTTCGTAATCGATGTGGTGGCGGCGGTAGACGACGTGGCAGCGACAGATGACGTTCTGACAGTCGCAGACGACGTGGTGGCAGCAACGGACGGCGTGGCAGCGACGGACAGCGTTCCGGCGGCCGTAGTCGACGTGGCGGCGGACGTTGTGGCTTCGGTGACGGCGACTTTTTGTTGCGACGACTTCATGTTTCTCGTAGTCGGCATTTCAGCGATCCGGCTTCAGAATGGTCTTCCTCCAGCGATCCGGCTTCTCGATGTACCAACGGTGTTCCTCCAGCAATCCGGCTTCTCGAAGGACCACGATGAACGGTGTGGACTGCCGTTCGGTGAGCGTGGACTGTAGGGGCGTTGGTTCAGGCTGGAGTGAAACACAGGGATTACTATTCTGAAGCCTCCGGTACCGTCTGAAGAGAGTATTTTTTCTTCTTGCCCTATTTCTTCTCGAGTGTAGTGCGTCGCTGCCCGGAAGCGAATGCCGCTCGACGAGAGGCGGCCTATCTTTATACCCGCCCGCTCGCACGATAACGTTCCAACTCGCGATAGCGATCTGTGCGAGCGGGACGGGGCGAAAATGAACGAGACGCGTGTCTCTTCAGATCGGTACTCTATAGCGTCTATTTATTTATTTTATTTCAATTTACAATTTCTTAATTCTATTTATTGTTACAATTTCTATTCGTAGGTAATAATGACAACACGCAAAGGAATACTTTATTTAACTTACACTATCTTAAATCTATGTAAATCTATATAAAATAACAGAATACAGAAACGATTAACTAGGGACTTAACAACTATAAATTACGATATATACAAATAATGTCGCGAACATATATATATATGATATTTTTGAATATTTTTTAATATATCAATTATATTAATTATAGATTAAAAATAAATGTTTATTATTATTACACATTTCTTTTTATCTAACATTAAATTGGTCAAGCAGTTTTAGAAGAGAAGAACTGGCTAGAATTTTATTTTATGTTTGTTGCAAAGAAACGGGTAATCATTGAACAAGTCCTGTATAGAGATAATACATTAAATATAAATGGTCATCATTTACATAACGTGATTTCATAGCTGTGTCCCACTTGACCCCAACTGACCTTATCCTTCGCGTTGTGCAATAAAGGCGCCTGCACAGGTGTGCACATATCGAGCGCGTTGTTGGTCGCGGCCAGGCGATCCACCGCCCGTAGTGTCTCCGCACATGCAAGTAGCGCCCAGCACGCGGCCGCGCCTTCTACTGCGCTGACTCCCAGCAATGACAGCTCCATTAGCGTATTGTGAACTACTGTTATACAACGGGATGCGATCTGGAATGTTAAATATTTATTTAAACTAAACACTCATCTTACTAATATATTAAATTTGTAACTAAAGAATGTCAGTATGTAAGAGATATTTCATAAAAATTAATATGAAGGGTCACAATAAAAGTAATACAAGCTATCATATAAAACTATTATTTTAGAATTGTTGTCTGTTTGTTTGTTGTGGCATTACACACAAACTTTTGCATCCAATTGGATGCAGTTTTCGTAGTTCTATTCCTGAAGGTTTAACTTAATTTAAATATTTAAAAAAATACAATTAAATTAAAGGTTGAAGTTGGTAGACAAAAATATAGGTATCAATATGCAGATGGCTAAAACTAAAACTATAAGAAAGAAAGAATTTCTTATTTTGAACACACTCTTATACTAGCCGTTAATGTCACTTACAAAGATGAAATCTTGTGAATATCTTTTTCTTGACTTTATATTATTATTATTTATATTCTTGACTTTTAATATAATACTATTTTATTTTTTATTATAATAATTAATTTTATAATTAATTAAACAATGGGATTTTATTTGAAAACAGAAAATCAGATGCACTTAGGTCAATTCTAGAATTTATCTATTTATTTATGTGTTGCTGGAAAGTACAGAATGTATTATTAACAAACTTCTATACTACAAAATAATTAATTTTCTCAATACCTACATCAAGTCTAGACATAGACTACTAACGTTTTCCAAATGACCACCCATGTGTGAACTGCATTACTTCAATTATATAGTGCAGTACTGCACTGCGTTCTCTATCCACAGTTAATGCTATGATACATAAATGTAATTACATTTAAAATATCTTGTGTGTGTAATAAGGCAGTTAATATATGGTTTGCCTTGGTTTATTAATGAGGTACACACAGTATAATTGGGTTACAGATTCAACCCTTGCTATGGAAATTTAATCAATACTGTTTTCTTTTTAGGTTGAATATGTTCAAGTTAAGTTAAAAGATAGTTTATATAAATATTTATATAGTATGTATATTAATATGAATATTGTATAATTACTTTTTTCGTTTATGATTATTCCATTATACTATTTCTCTGTGGTAATAATAATGCAAATGAAATGAATAATTCAAATGAATTGAAGCGTAGATTAATCAGCACTAATTACACATCCAACATTGATCACAATTAATAAATTGTTGGTTTCTGTGTGGCATGTTCTAAATTACTGGTATTTGTAATTTTAGAATTGTATGGTAATGACAGTGCTTATTTTCAATATATGTCCATATCTATAGGCAACGGTTACTACTTAATATTAGGTGGGCCATTAGCTCGTTTGCCATTCTGAGTTGCATAAAAAAATTGTAAATTAATTTTTATACAATAAATTTTGAGAATTTTTAGTATTTAGAGTCCTTAATTACAAATACATTATAAATTTATATTATAGATGTTATACTACTATAGTTTAATATAACAATACCTTTTTTTGTTTGTATTAAATTCTATATTTTAATATATCCTTTGTGAATAAAGAATAAATGAATTTCACATATTATGATTAATCATTATTCTTTAGGATAAATTTTATAGTACCTTTATGCCTTCCAGTCTATGAAGATGGTACAAGAACAATATTGATTTTTTTACTGTCATAAAGGGTATCAGTGTTTCACCTCTAAGGAACTTGTCAACAATAATCATTAAAATAATTTAAAATCAACTCACCTCTACAGGTTTAAACATAAGTAATAACATGGCACTTTGACGTTGGAAGAGGTAGCTTCTGAAATCTAATAAGGAGGCTTTCTTCTTTATTATGAGGTCCCTCAAATGTTGTGGCACTAAGGCTGTCAGTTTCACAGCCTGCCATGCTGTGACAGGCTGCTTGAAAGTGTCGAGCCACTTTGGACTCTCTGTCACATTAGAATTGAGTACAAATTGAGAAAACAATGCATCCAACTCATCATATTGGACTAGAGCTTCCTCATATAGGCCTAGCATTTCTAATACAAATGCCAGTTGTTCCTGTAATTAATAAGTAAAATATATTTAAATACATCACTTCTTTTATTTATAAGTATACAAATAATTTACTATAACTTTATAATGGTATAACTGCTTTTTTGGCTGTGTATTTTTAGCATGTAGTATTCTCCTTCAAGATTCAATCAGTTGAGGTTATTTGAAAAATATTTGTGGACTTAAAATGATAAATATAGTTATCATTAAATATAGTTATTTTACTATTATTTTATTTGAAATGTAATAAATTTTTAATACAAAATTAAAAGTTATTTGTAGTATAGAATTTTGTTCCATATATGATAATATCTATTAAGATACGTTTTATAAAATTGTATTAAAGAAAAATACCTGTAAAATAAAGTATTTACAAAAGTCCCACTCAGGATCATTGCGTTTTTCTCTTTGCTCTCTCATATACTCCTCGAACTTTATCAGGGCTTTATTGTAAGCCACTAGAATGAAATGCCTGACCTTTGCCACTAAAGCTCTCCATGATTCTGCACTTCGAGCCTCTGACTTGATGGGATTTATTACAGACAGAAATCGGTCCTCTGTTTGTTTGACAGCAAAGTCCCCTTTTATTCTATCCAATACTGTAGTCCTCGGTAACAGCTTATTGGTTTTGCGAATATCATAGGTTTCTACTAGTACTATCATCCAATCTGTTATACCAGTTTTCTCCAGTTGTTTCAGCCATAATTCAATATCTTCTCTTAATGTGGTTTTGTAATATTCTACATCCTGTAAATTAAATGTGCCATAGTTTCATTTCACTTTAACAAATTAGAAATTATTTTCAATTTGGGGAAAATTATAATGATTTTCTACAAAGAATGTTATGACAAAAAAATTATATAAAAAAATATAAAAAGTTATAATAAATATTGCTGGCTAAAATGACTGGGGTACAGCTATATTTTTTTTAAGTAACATAGCCTTAGCTAGTATTTTTATTCAAACAAATATTATATATATTGAAATAAATAAGAAGCTAAAATAAAAAGATTTCTGTATTAATGAATCATAATATATAATATTATTTATTTTTGTCAGTATTATATTTATATGACAAAATCAATAAATAAAAAAATAAGCTCTGGATATATTATATCAATAAAAAAATCATGCAAGACTGTTGACTAAATATGTTGTGTAAAAAATAGATCATTTTATAGCCAAGATTAATGTGTTTATTCAAAACACAAAAAAATATGAACAATAATTAACATACTAACCACACAGTCTGTCCAATAGATATGAAAAATTGGACGCTTCAGCAAATTCAGCTCAGATTGCACTTTATCCTTATTGAACTTTAAGAATGACGCTTCTAAATACACAGACTTAGGAGGTCGACCATAGGACCTCCGCCATTCGCAGGAGTCTTGTGGTATAGCAGCCACTAGTGGGGCCTCTAGTGTACAAAACAAGTTCCAATCTCCCGCGCCTATGTGAAGAATTTAATAGTATATTATGACATTAAATATGTGGAAAAATTACATGTTTACACTAGTCGATAGTAAATAATTATTGCGCACTTACATGTTATTATAGGTTTATTTGTCATTCCTTCGGGATCAGCTGGAGAGCTATCGACACCCTTCATTTTTCATCATCAGCACAATTCGTCAATTTTTCGGGCATGACACAAATATTATCCGAAATCCACCCACTTTTCGGCAGTTAAAATACACTCCATGCACTAACTTATAACAAACTGCCTACCTGATAATTAATTGTATTAACACTCTTATTGAAATAGATTAAATGTAATTGTTATTTTATTTTTAACTGGGTTCTTCAAAATGGAAATAAAAAAGAGAATTTAAATTGTCAAAACATTGCTGTCAACAGTCATGTCAGCACCCAACTCGACAGTCTTGTTGCGTTTCGTTGTAACAAAATAACCAATAAATAAATTGTGACAGCTTAGTAGATCACTAAGCAAATAATTATTGCAGTACTACAGACGATTAAGTAGTTAATGCTAAAATTGCATTATAAAATAAAAATGGAGATGTTAATGCCTAAAAAGAATATCTCCGGCCCAATTGTAGCTGTTGGTATATTTTTGTAAATATACTATAAAGTAGTGTAAGTGTGTTTAATTATCCTGGGGACCAAGCGCATAATAATATGTATTCTCAGGTATACCTTCAACTACAGTTTAAAGCTCCACTATTTATTCTGAGGTGGATGCCCACGCGGACTCTATCTTAATATGCCAATGGCCATACTGTGTATGGTTCAAATAAATTACTATATTATGGCAGGTTAACGATGGCAACATTTGTAATTACTCTACATTCTCTATGTGATCCCAAAATGTCGCTTTCTGTTTTGGTATCATCTTGCAATAAAGGAAATCAATTTTCATAATTTATCCATGATTTTGCGAAATTATAGAAATCAGTTTGAATATAAAAAGTGGAAATAGTATTCACGTAGCCATCAGGTAATCTTTTGTTGGCTTTGAATTTACCATTATATGCTTTTCATTAATGATTAATTTGTCATATTTTGTCATTCTTTTTCTTTATTATTCTATAACTACAGTGGCATAATAATTATTGTAATATTTTTTATAGAATGAATACATTAATATCTATATAACTGTATTCACGAGAAATATCTTTTTTGTAATATTATTGCTCCCAATTAATTTATAGTTTTATTTTTTTCCCCTTAATTGTGTAATTTCTAAATAGCACTTGTCACTCACATGTCTCATAGGTAAACTCTATGAGACAACGTTCACAGTATACAAAATTTTGCTAATATATTAATAATAAATTTTTTCAGCCATGAACACTACAGCACCAACATCGGCAGATGCATGTTTGAGTATTGTCCACTCACTTATGTGCCACAGACAAGGTGGGGAGAGTGAGAGTTTCTCAAAACGTGCCATTGAGTCACTCGTTAAAAAATTGAAGGAAAAACGAGACGAGTTAGACTCGTTGATCACAGCTATAACAACAAACGGAGCGCATCCTAGTAAATGTGTTACAATACAAAGAACTTTAGATGGCAGATTACAGGTATGTTGTATACACTACTAAGTAGTTGAGAAATAAAATATTTTAAATTAACATGTTGGGAATTTTATGAATTACAAGTACAACAAAATTGAATTATAAAATATGAAAGCACTGTTTGTGTTTAGTATGATGTCCAATTTCTGAAAAGATCCCGGTACAATATAAACTATCTATCTATCAACTATGTAAGTAATATTATTTAAGTTGTAACATTTTGTATTTATGTTTTGCAGGTAGCTGGTCGTAAAGGATTTCCACATGTGATATATGCACGCATATGGCGTTGGCCTGATTTACATAAGAATGAATTGAAGCATGTTAAATTTTGTCAGTTTGCATTTGATTTGAAATGTGATTCTGTTTGTGTGAACCCATACCACTATGAACGGGTTGTGTCACCTGGTATAGGTAAGTTTGGTATCATACACAGTGTTCTTAAATAGAAGTAAATGTATTTAATTGTCCTGTATTAATTAATATATAAATGAATGTTCTTGTGGCAGAAAACATTTAATGGCATTCTCTACAAGTCAACCATAAAGCAAATATGAATTTACTGCTTTGTTTTTAATAACACATTAATATTTGTTTTTAAGATGAAATTTATCAATGCACAGAATGATTCACTTAATGTACACACTTGAAGTTTTACTTAGAGGGTACTGTTGTGAGATAGAGATTTAAGGAATGGATAAATTATTAATGGATGGATAAATATTTCCCATGGAAAAAATATGACCCTGTTCTATTTTATGTGGACTTCCTTCTAGTTCTTTAATTACATTTTTCTTTATAATATAGCTGTTGTTTTATATTTTTTTATAAATGTATGATTATTATAAATATGCCAATTCATTTGTTTAATTGAGAAATAATTACCCAAACATTGTGTTAGTAGTATTCAAAATGATAATGCATAATTTTCAATACTGGTAACAATTCATTGTTACATATTGCAAGTGAAATATTAGGATTTAGTTTACCCTATTTTAGGGGTTATTGTGTAAAAACAAGTTTTAGACTAGGCTAGGCACAGCTGTGCAGTCTATCTTTTGTCTACTTACTGACTTTGTATAGAAACAGGATATGTTCACAGACATAAGAATAATAAAAAATTCCCACCACAAATGAATAGCAGCAAATCACAGTCATATTTATAAAAATAAGATTTAAATTCATTGGCAGTCCTACTGCTTGCGAACAGGTTTTTTATTTATTTTTAATTGAATAGAACAATGTTTACGATAATTATATTTATTTATTTCATTCCATCGGTTTCTGTTTACAATAGGAGCCCTTTTCCAACCATCATTAAAATAATTCTCTAATATTGTATATTTATAAATTAAGTTGCTGATTTTTTTTTTTAAAATAGTGTCAATAATTTGTTGCAACATTATGACTACATAATTGATTTTGTAGATTTGTCTGGACTGACTCTACAATCAGGTCCAAGTAGGTTGGTAAAAGATGAATACACAGCAGGCCTTAGTGGAAATGGTATGGACATGGATACCGGTGAATTGGTGACCATCCAACATCATGCTACCAGCCCCCGCCACCACCACACCACAATACCACACCATCAATTCCAGACTACAAATATAATTATTAATCAAGGACAAAGTAAGAAAATTCCATTAAAATTTGTGTTATAATTTGAAATTTGTTTTGAAGTAGATTATATAAATTAATGATGAATACTGTGATGGAAAGTTTAAGTGGTGAAACTATGCAAAATACCAGTTTCATTCATGGGTGTTTAGACAATTCATCATTTCTGGTTACTTGATTAGTATTATTTTATTCATGCTGTCATTATTTCCACACAATAACACCTAATTCAATATTCATCATTGATTTAATATTAGGATTTTTCATGTATTTTTTTTATTTGCAATGCATGCTAATTTTATTTTGCATTTTCGTGTCACTAGCGCCAGAGGGCGTTCCGAACATGTTTTCGCCGACACACGGACCGCGGCCGGCCGTGCGACCGGCGGGGGCTCCGCCCCAGTTGGCTGCCCCACAGATGGGACATTCGCCAGGCGCGTCGCAAATGATCTCCACGCACCCAAGCGGCGTTCAGATGTCTTCTCAACACGTGATGCCCGGAACACCACAGATGGGTCCAGGCACACCACAAATGGGTCCGGGTACGCCTCAGATGGGGACAAACGTGCCGCAGATGGCTTCACCTCGGATGGCGTCTGCTCCCACTCAAATGTCGCCAGGCACCCCCCAGATGCCGAATATAAGCCAAGGGATGCCCTTGCAGAGCCCCCAACTGATAGCTATGGCACAGCAAAGGGCTATAGTTCCTAAACTAGAGCCACCTGATACAATGGACGCGAGGGCTATGTGGCTACCAAAAAGAATTAATCATTGTAAGCTTACTTATTTTATTTTGCACCATTTATTTTATTAAATCACTTTTATTTTATTAGTTGTCTATGTATACAGGGTTTAAGTGAACTCACTTCAATTTTCTGGATATGGATTAGGTGAATAACATAACATAATAATGACATTATTAACACTTTTATTACATGCTGTAAAATATACTCATTATATTCAAGATTATGTGCTGCCAATGTGATATTGCTTTTTGTATAAAATACAGAAAAGTGGATACAGATTGATTAATTTAGGATTTTTTTGTTATAAAAAATTTAATTTAATTATATTTCTAGGTGTAAAGTTATAATATACACAGTTTTATGTGTACTTGTTTCTACTTCAGCTTCAGAGGATTGATTTGAGTTCCTTAAAATCACTGTTATATTCTATTGTTTCGTTAATATAAATATTTTTTTTTTTATATTTTCCAGCTGCAATGCCAGTAAGCATGTCACCAGGAGGGACAACTCCATTAATAGATGGCACCACCACTACTTTTTTCACAACTGAACAAACTACTGCTGAAACTCAGTTGACACAAACATTACCAGGTAATGGGTTTGTATTGGCTTTGTATTTATACTGTACCACTTAAAGCAAAATAGACAAAATTTTGCAAAAATAACCTAATATATTTTTTTAATGACCACAGATGCAAAATGTAAAATTATGTCATCAACCCTCTACTAAAAACTTTTTCGTTAAAACATTAAAATCTTGTATTTTTTAATTAATTGTTTTAATTTATATAATAAATTTATATATAATTACTAGCTGTTGCCTGCGACTTCGTCCGCGTTTTCGTCGTATTTCGTAAAATAAGTAGCCTATGTCCTTCCCCACAGTTCAGTGGTTTTGATGTAACAGACACATTTCCCTTCACTGCTCTGCTCCTATTGATCGTAGCGTGATGAAAAGTATACTACAACCTGCCCAGGAGTATGAAGAATAATTGTACCAATTTTCGTTAAAATCCGTCGAGTAGTTTTTGTTTCTATAACGAACATACAGACAAAAATTTAACTGATTGCATTTTTGGCATCAGTATCGATCACTAATCACCCCCTGATAGTTATTTTGGAAATATATTTCATGTACAGAATTGACCTCTCTACAGATTTATTATAAGTATAGATAGATTATAGTTGCATATGTAACGGCCCGTTGCCTTTGTCCTTCGGGATTGTATTCTGTAGTTGTAAATTAAAAATAGAACGTCGATATGGTGGCTGTATGGTTAAATACGAAAAACTATTTGGCAGTATTCATATTTTTTAAATTACAAAGTCTTTTAGTGTGTGTGTGTGTAAATGTTTTATAAATATTTATGGCCGTTTTCGTATTCAGCAGCTGCGGTATCGGTGTCGGGGGCGACAGTGAGCGCGGTAGCGGGTGTGAACGCGGGCGTGGGCACGGGTGTCGGTGTGGGAGTGGGCGTGGGCGTGGGCACGGCGGCGGTAGGCCCGGAGGTGACGCAGGCGCAGCCCGCGCAGGCGGCGCAGGCGGCGCAGACGCAACAGAACGGCTTCAGCGCCGCCGGCAGCCCCGCGCCGCAGCCCAGCCCGCTACCGCACCGCACGCAGCACCAACAAGGTTCCTATCATCTTTGATTTTTCAGTACTACTTCACAGCTAATGTCAAATAATATTACAAAGTTTTCTACTTTGTAATATTTAATTTTTTTTGTTTGTAATGGATAATCTCTAGGAAGGTATGGTGTCGAGGAAAGTGGACTGTATTTTTTTGAAAAAAAAAAAATAGAGATCCCTAAACTGTGCGAAGCCGGACCAGAGGGAGACTTTGTACAAAACTCGATTGCTTGGGTACCTCTGTCCCATTCGTGTTTCAACCGTGAAGTAGTTGTGTTTGCATGACTGTGTTTCGATTCAAGGGTGGGATATGGCGTGAATTTAATGGGTACAGAGAAATAACACCTAAGTTTTCAGGAATGGCAATGCATGGGGGTATCATGAGCGAAACAGTATACTCTGTTATGTCCATGGTACTGCTCATGTCTATAGGCGACGGTTACCACTTTCCATCAGGTGGGCTGTCAGCTTGTTTGCCATTCTAAGTTGTATAAAAAAAAGTGGGGGCAGGGCACTAGTAATGAATTATTAATTATTATTAGCAAGAAGTCGGCTCTTTTTGTTGTAGTTATTTTTACAAAGTAATATAATAGCTAGTTAACAATATAATATTTATTTTCTTTTTTAAAATAAGATATTGATTTTACATTCACAGACAGACAGAATAAGGTGTGCATAAATAGAGCTATTGTTTTTTTTTCAATAACTGGTAATATAAACACTATAAAATACATTTGGGTATCAATACGTGAAGGTCCCTATTAAGAAGAATTCTACCCCTCACAACGGCGGTTTTTTTTAAATGGATGATAATGAAATGGTAACCCCGCCTGCACTATCAGTACTGGCGAGGCACCAGTGAAGGAAGATTGGTGAGTATGAAAAGGCAGGTCAGTTAGCCTATCATGACGAATTCAACGATAAACAAGTCACAATAGTTTCCAGAGGGAAACACGTGGAGGTTGACCTAATAGGGTATATTGCTAACAATGGGGTTATTAATCCAATTACTAAGTAATTAACTAAAACTACGCCATTGTGGGGGAGGGGGGGGGTTATGAGATTCCTCTTCCCCCATAATGGCGGGTTGTGACGGTGGTAGTGCAAGGTGCGTTGTGTCGGCAGGCACGTGGACGGGCAACAACACGCTGACGTACACGCAGAGCCTAGCGCCGCCTCCTGCGCCGCCGCCGCCGCTCGACGCGCCCGCCCTCCACCATCATTACTGTAAGCGATACCATAAACAAACGATCATTGTATTTAAAAGAGAAAATTAACTCGTCTAGAAAAAAAACCAGCTAACTCAGCAAATGTTATATTACCTTTTACCGCCATCTACTAGGTACATTTTTTCTTATAGGGACAAAAGTTAACCTATTTCTTAAGTTGAAGCATACAGAATACATTTACAAAACTAAATTAGATCTAATTGAACGGTTTCGGATATCAGTTTGCATTATATATATATATATTTTTTATTATTTTTTTCATTAGTTAATGGCAACCCCGGCGGTTTGCTATCGAGTCAACCAGCGCCCGAGTACTGGTGCTCTGTGGCGTATTTCGAACTGGACACGCAAGTTGGAGAAACATTCAAAGTGCCATCAAGTAGACCTAATGTTACTGTAAGTTGAATATTAAGTTTATTATTAGTAGTAATATCCTAATGTGAGTTTGTTACTAAAGAACTGACTTGAAATGCTTTTTTTTGTTAAAAAAAGAGTACATACATACATACATACATAGAAAATATCCAGACTAATACAAACAAATACGAAATTGTTTGTATTGTTCGGGAATGAACCTACGCCCTTTGCAAGGTAAAGCTGTGTATTAAGCCATTAAATCATCAAAATTGTCCACTTTGCTACCTAAACCAACCAATTCTCATGAAATTGGAATTTTTGTCCGTCAGTATGTCTCGTAAGCGTCAGTATGTCCTCGTTCTATCTATATTCTGAAGTGTATTTAAGGATGAAGGGGGGTGGATAGGCTGTGCCTATTCTGGAGTCGTCTGGTCGTCTATCCCGGGATCAGGAGTAAAACTTTTACCGATGGGCAAATATTTTTATGTTTGAAAGTACATATGCGTTTTTTATAATGGAGAAGGTTTCTTGGAATTAAATATTAATTACACCTATGTCTATATTTAATCAATGACCGAGGTGATGATGATGATGATGATGAGAATATTAATTACACCTATGTCTATATTTACCAAATGATCGAAGTGATGATGATGATGATGAGGTGTGCTCATTATAACATCGTTTGACAGGTTGACGGCTACGTGGACCCATCAGGTGGCAACAGATTCTGTTTGGGAGCACTGAGCAATGTCCATAGAACAGAACAAAGCGAACGCGCGAGGTGAGTGTTGTAATTATTTATGTTGTTATGTGCAAAAATTAATATTTCATTTGACTTAATACAGATAATCGTTATATCAGCCTTTAAGTGTCCTCTGCTGAACATAAGTCTCCTCCTTGAGGGGTTTTGCCAGTAGTTGGCAAGCTTGGTAGGTGGGTTGGTAATCACAGTTAGGCTTTAGAGATGTTTTAAGAAGGGCGCTGTTGCCCATACCTCGTCTTCTCTTAGTCGACATTTACGACGCCCACGGGAAAGTAAGGGGTGGCCTATTCTATGCCGGGACCAAACGGCTGTACAATATTGATAATAATACATGCTAAGTTGCAGAAAAAAATTTAAAAACAGTGAACACTTTATATAAGCAATATCCTTTATATTTTATTTATTCCACTCAGCTTAGTTAGTAAAAGAAATAAGTAAAAATATTTTCCAGACAGTAAAGTATTTTACACTCCTTTTTTCCTTAAAAGCAACTTTTCCCAATAAGATTTTTTTTTGTTGAAAATGGTTCAAATAAGTTGCTTATATAGAGCGTTCACTGTATTAATTTTATAAAAAATAAAACCTTTTACAAACGTATTTTAACTGTTACATTGTTTTGTCACTTTCTTTCAAATTGGGAATTTAGCATAAGAGATAGAGACAAAACATTTCAAAAGCTAAAAAAATGTTTCTGAGAGCTTTGACGTTTTTATGAATAAGAGGGTAAATTTATATTAATTAAATATACATGATCAAAGATGATGAAACTTAATCGTGTTTGGTTTGTGCAGACTGCACATCGGCAAAGGAGTGCAACTGGACCTGCGCGGCGAGGGCGACGTGTGGCTGCGCTGCCTGTCGGACCACTCGGTGTTCGTGCAGTCCTACTACCTGGACCGCGAGGCCGGCCGTGCGCCCGGCGACGCCGTGCACAAGATATACCCCTCAGCTTGCATAAAAGTAGGCCCCCGACTTTAGATTATATAGACAGAGAGAGATCTCCATACAAATTCGGAAAGTGGGTCAACTTTTTCATACAATTTTACGTGATAAATAGTCATGTTTCCTTTATAACTTCCATATTTATTTTGTTTTATAATTTTTGCACCTTTATAATGCGTAAAAATTCATTTCATTTATTAAATAATTAAATGTAGATACGTCAAGATAAATTATGTACTTAAGTATATAGAATACTAATAAAAAAAAATGAGTTAGCTAATTTGACAGATTGCTGACAAAAAGTTGACCCGTTTTTGACACTTGATGTTCTAGCTATATAATTTAACTCCACTTATGCAAACTTACAATTACACGGTTGCCTAGTGATGTCTCGTTTAAAGATGAAACACATATTGCAACATGTGCGTAGACTGAATAACGGTCGGAGAATGATTACTAACTGGGGCTGGTTGTAGGACTTTTACTAACATTCATTATTATATAAGCCATGCACTGTCCACTATTGAACATAATTATTAGTTTACATCAGCAAGTTGCCAGTGAGGAATAAAATCTGTCTATCGTGACGAATTAAACAGGAATTAACTATGGGGGTTGCCAGGGTCGCCTTGCCAGCGTATTCCGTTATTGCCGGTAACGTAAGCGGGGTTACTATTCCGTTATTATCCTGCTATCCTGGGTGCTGTAGGCGTTACAGTGACAATGGTGTTGTTTATGTATATGGTAACAGTTGCCACTTTCCACCAACTGAAGGCCAGTTTGTTATTATTTTTTTAATGGGTGATAATGGAATGATAACCCCATTTGCGTTATCGGTATACGCTGGCGGGACACCAGTGAGGGATGACAGCTGACGATGAAAGTAGGTCAGTTAGCTTATAGTGACGAATTTCATTACAATAAACCACGATGATTTCCAGAGGGAACCGCGTGGAGGTCGACCTGATAGGGTGTATTGTAAGCAATGGTTCAATAGTATTGATGAGGGCCTAGGGGTCATCTAAGGGCCCTACACCACAGACCCCATTACTAACAATCTCTTTCACCCCCGGTTTTTGGCTAGCTTGTTAACCATTCTCAGTTGTTAAAAAAAATGTTTTTGGTCCAGGTATTCGATCTACGGCAGTGCCACCGTCAAATGCAGACCCAGGCGGCGACGGCACAAGCAGCCGCTGCTGCTCAGGCCGCCGCCGTAGCCGGGCACATCCAGCCGCAACATGCTGGCATCAACAAGTGTGAGTACATAAACGTCATAAAAAGTAGTTTAAGAATCTTCGAAATTGGTTCACAATAAGCGAAGATATTGCGCAAGAGTGGTATTTTTTTAATGGATGATAATGGAATGGTAGTCCCGTTTGCGCTAACGGTATACACTGGCGAGGCACCAGTGAGGTGAGAATGAAAAAGCAGGTCAGTTGGACCATAGTGAATATATGATGAATACACTTGAAATTCAGCACGATGGTTTCCAGAGGGGGGACTACGTGGAGGTTGACCTGATAGGGTATATTGCTGGCAGTGGAGCTAGTATGGTACTGTTCATGTCTATAGGCGACGGTTACCACTTTCCATCAGGTGGCCCGTCAGCTTGTTTGCCATTGTAAGTTACATAAAAAAGAGGCCGATATTAATAATCTGTTTCGCTTATTGTATATTAGGTTTAACAGCGGCAGCAGGTATTGGCGTGGACGATCTTCGGCGGCTGTGTATAGTGCGCTTGTCCTTCGTCAAGGGCTGGGGACCGGACTATCCGCGGACCTCTATCAAGGAGACGCCATGCTGGGTCGAGGTTCATCTACACAGGTATCCACATAATAGACTTATAAATATTAGTTATTATTCGTATATCTCCATCGCCTGCATCTATTACAATAAACATAACATGTAATCAATGATTATTAAGTAACATGTTCAGAAAACAACTGAAAGAAATTTTCTGAACAAACATGTGCCATCATCATCCTTGAAACTACTGCTGATTTTCATCCCGCCACAAATTAAAGTTTCATCCCAACCATCTGGATGAGTGGTAGTCCTCCACTGTGCGATTTTAAGGCACTTTCTTCCACGCACAACTATGTTTAGGATTTAAATTCCAGATCGATAAGACATTATAACTTTCAAGAAAACAGCAGTTTCGTTTTTAAAAGGCCAGCAGCACATCTGCAATTCCTCTGAAGTTGCGGCGCTAGTCACCATCAAGCGAGTCGCATGCTCGCTTGCCCTCTATGTTATAAAAAGAAATCATCCATCTCTTGGCTGCAACTTTGGTAATATCATCCCGTCAGCCTTGTGTTGTTGTTCAATATCAACTGTTATCTGTCCATTACTGTATATAGCTTCCCCCATAAGGGGACTTTTGCCTATAGTTGTCACGCTTGGCAGGCGGGTTGGCAACCGCAGTTTGGCTTTTGGTAATGTTTTAAGAGGGACGCTGCTGCACATCCCTACACCATAAGCTCTCTTAGTTGCTTCTTATGATACCCACGGAAAATAAAGAGGTGCCCTATTCTATGCCGGGACCTACACGGCTACAGCCTTGTGTACACCCTTATAATTATATTATATTGCAGAGCCTTGCAGCTATTGGACGAGGTATTACATACAATGCCAATCGACGGTCCACGGAACAACATTGAGTAGGAGTTGATCGGCTTCTTTTGAGGCCTTCGAGCGAATCACAAGACTATATGTGCAATTTTGTGGACGACACGCGTCGCAGTGTATGGCTAGTGAGGATTGACAAGTGAAGTGCCAGTTAGTGAAGTTTAGGTTGTGTACTTTAATAAATATACAGTGGTATTATTGTGTAAAAGAATTTAGTAGGCTTTTGGATGTTTTGCAACACTACAGTTACCATTTTCCATCAGGTAGGCCGTCAGCTTGTTTACATAGTTGTATAAAAAATCATAATGTGAAATTATAAAATGCAAAATTATATCGCATCTGCTACTTTTCTTTATATATATGTTGGAGATCGCGGGTAAAAATAAAAAAAAAAAAATTAAACTTTTATATGTTTCAAAACCCTTTATAAAAAATCAAGATCAATCACTGCCATCTTGAATCTGTTTCACTCATCACACTTATTATCATTTTTATTTCATCCATTCATCTTTTAGAAACATGTATTTCCTCATGTGTTACTACAAGTGGCAATAAGTGAAAAATCACACATAGTCCCTTCGTTTGAGGTTAATAGTGGCCCTTGTTTAATAATGACATAAAATCACTGTGAATATGAAAAATAATTTCACAAAATGTTATTGAATTAAAATAAATATTACAGCTTGTGTAGTTTGCACGAGAATGTCCGCATTCTCAGTCTTCCATACAAATTTATTGGCGGAAACACGAATGTGGCCGTAACGTAAATATTTGTACAACCTCACATTAAGTACTCGGTTGTCTCTTTTATTTGATAAAAAAAAAAGGTTTATCTGTTTGACAATGTTCTTTTTTGTACAGTTCATAATGGCTAACAATATTATGGTTCATGGAATGTAGATAATGGTATCCACATTCCACCTAATGGAAAGTAGTAAGATGCACCTTTAAACATAAACAGTGTCACAGTTATCATAGAATACACTGTGGTACCTGTGCTATTTTGCGTATATTTTATTCTTTTACATAAAAATACCACTAATATTATATGCTTTGTGTATGTGTTACATAAGCCTTTTAAGACAGTGCATGTTTAACTCACTGTGATTTTGTTTGTACGTACACTGGATTACACTGTTGTGTTAGAATAATATATACTATGGATATAGCAGTATACTTACAAAGCATAACATCCAGATAAATTTAATATAAACATGAATGAACCATCTTAAGTGCAAAAAATTATTTTTTTGAAATATTACACGAACCGTTATTTTAAATGTTATATACTATATACGTGTTTTATATACAGTTTTAGATTATTTTATGTGACAAAAAAGGTATATACGTCCTAAAAGTGAGAATATAATTCTTCAGTAATTACCTTGGTCATTTGGCATGCAAATTATAATGGAAATTACGTATTTTTTCTTTTTTAGTTTTTAAAGTGTTTATTTACACTTGTTTGCCATAAACTAGCATTTAATAGTTTGTTTTTATTTTTAAAAATATATTTTCTATTTCGGCCACGTCTTCCAAATTGTTTAGTTGATTTTGTCTTCCAGTAAAAACTGGAGTTTTGTTTTGTATTTAGGATCGATAGAACGTTAAAGTATGGGGATTTGACAAACATTGCACAGTTTAATATGCATCGCTCGTGTTTAAATAAAAGGTGAACTGGGTAATTTATGTCTTGTATTTATTTATACTAACAACTAAGTAGATACAATATAGTAAGTATAAATGTATAATATAGTCGTTAACAGTATTGAGATGGAACAAACAAACGAAGGGATCTCACTAAAATATTTTCACAAAACAAATTAAATGATAATATTATGTAAGATATTATTATATTTATAATATTACGCAGTCGCGTCAGATGTCTGTGTTGCTCAACGGATCTGTGCACGGTGATATTATTACAAGCAAACGTTATACGAATTTTATTAGCAGCGATACCAAATTAAGGCATTTTTGTACTAAAATAATGTAGATTAAATATGACAAGACATAATTTACAGTTCAACTTGAAAGAAGCCAAATGGGATAGCTTTTATTGTAACTTAAGTATATATAAGTTAAGGTGGCGAAGTTAATTTATATTAGGCGTAAGTCGCAGGCTCGGGTGGCGGCGCATTGCGAGGCTGTTTGTTAGTTTGATGTGCCTGATTAGTGGGATTGCATGAATCATCGGCTAAATATTTTAGTTGCACCCGTTCGGTCGGCGTTCGGTCTGACGTCAACACGACTCGATGTTGCCTTGCGGTAATGCGGTAACAGTTATTGGCGGATCGATAAAATACGATCCAAATATTAGGATTCGTTTATAAATGTTTAAATGTAGTTTCTCAGTAAATATGAAATAGAGTTACTTACTTGTATTTCCTGAGAATACGTTAAAAATTGTTCGGTTGTTTGCTGCGTTATATATATATATATATATATATATATATATATATATATATATATATATATATATATATATATATATATATATATATATATATATATATATATCTTCTGTAATTCTTATAAGTGACACGGAGACTTATGGAACCGCGAATTTTGATCGGCAGCTACACGTTAGCGATACAGCGACCGAATCGTTGCCAGTTTTTGTTTTATTATTTTATTATTAATATAATAATATTTTTTATTAATATTTGTTTTATATAAGTATAATTTATCCCTCACGCTCTGGCTGGCTAAGTTAACCACGGCGACGGTATGGATAAATTTAAAAAAGAAATCTTTTTTATACACAACTTTTGTATTGTTTCGGCATCATATATCTTGTATTTTGTAATGCGTAGTTCATGCAATTTAACTAAGTTTTTTTTAGATGATCTGTGATGTGCTAACAAATGTGTTTAATAGGAATGCGCGTATCCGTTGGACTGTTTGAGATACTTTAATAAATTAAAAAGTCACTCGTGTAGTATGCCCATTATTTTTGGTGAATGTTTAGAAATAGTTGTAAGTATAGAGTGAAGTATTTTGTGTACGGAATCGTAGCTGATATACATAAGATGTATTAGTAAGGGTATGGTGTTACAGAAATTTGGTCTCTAGAATTGACTTGTTTGTTCAAATGACATAGTTTTTTTTGTTAAGTTAATGTATGTAATGTATGTTTATTATGGTTGCGCTGGAATCACTGATTAGAGCGTTTTATGCACATAAAACTAGCAATGTCTGTATTACTTTTATATTTAAACATAATGAATGAATAAAAATCTTTATTGATCTTTCAAACAGCTTGTTTGCCATTCTAAGTTGTATAAAAATATATATATATATATATTGCTACAATTTTTCCCTTTTATTCTGATATGAATTCTTATTTAAAAAGGTTATATATTCTATGATATCGTTATATTAAAGTTATTGTGAAATTTGGATTATAACGTAAAAAAAAAGCAAAATTGTAAACTTCAAGATTAACTTTTAATAGTAGAATAATGTCCGATTTGTTCGAAGATTAACGTTTTAGGTCGATACAGAGACACTTTTTAGAATAAGAATTTTGAATTATTACAGAGTATTGAATTTTTTTTTTTTAATAAATTATACAGATATTGCCAGTATTATGGTGCTCTGAAATATTTGAGATTTTTGTAGTTCTCGATAAGATTCGCTTTAATTATCATTACGCAGATTACGATTGATTGTAATTATTATATTGTGTTGATCATTTTATATTGCTGTTAGTGACAGTTAGTGTTTTCGATATCTAAGATTATTTTATAATAAAACTATGAGCTTTCGGCAATGACATATGATAACTAATGATTTTATAGAGGTACATATTGTATTGTGTGCAGTTCTGTTTTTATATTTTTATTTTTATAATGTATCTGTGTGGATTTTAAGTTGTTAACGAACAAACATCACAATATCTTTATTTTTTTTTGTTATAGTTAAAAAAATATGTATCATGAAGGGTATAACAATCAGTAATTCGATGATAATCAAGAAACTAAAGAACTTTATTTAATGAGCATAGGCATAATAATATATGTTTACGATTTCATCCCTAAATAAGTCGGAGGGTGTATGAAAGTCATACATTTTATGTAATTGTAGTAAAAATTGATGTTTCATGTCATGTATTATTCGATTGATCAATCGGTTGACATGTTGCAAGTATTCGTTTCTTAGTACATCTATTGGTGGCATCGAACTGCCGCGTTTAAGCATCACGCGCTAGATGGCGCTGATTGAAAAAATCTTCTAGGGATCCACAATTATGTGGTGCCCGAAAATTCGGGTAAATGATGTTTTGTGATCTAGGATAATTTTAACTAACCAAAAACCTACCAAGGTACCTACAAGAACAGAAATGTGTCAATTCCTATGTTCCTTGAGGATCGTATCGAATTGTGATACCCTTTTAGTTACATGTTATATATAACTATTATTTACGCTTTCATTACAATTATTGATCGTTACCAATGACCACGTTTGAATCGCCTAGTGTTGTAAATAGTACAATTTATGAAGAAAATAATATTTTTAATATAAATGGACGTGTATTTGTGATCAACGGAACGACCACCGATGGTGTTTGCAAGTCAGTACTTAGATACTATATTCAATGAAATTTCTCTTAGCTTTCACAAAAAAAAATGTGTATCAAAAATACCTCTCTATAGTGATGAAAAGGAATCAAAGGGTTTTAGATGATATTAATAAGTATGTGGTAAGTTTTTTTAATAATGTTCAAGTTTTGAATGAATAATATTTGACAAATTCTACATATTATGACAGTTATACTTGCCAACTGTTTCGAATGTACTCTTTCAATTTTATGTAAAAAAAAGAAACCATTAACATACAGTTATTTGGAGATATACCGAAGTTATCCAAAGTTGAGAAATATTGAATAATGTTTGTTGTTCACTAAAAAGGACATAACTGACGCTTTTGTAAATATATAGCACGAGATATGGTCATGTCAAAGAGTCGCTCTTGAGAGCCGTTTTTTTTTTTACATAGCGATTATCCGGTCTGTACCTTGTTGTCGTCTAAATAAAGATCGAATTTGTATGAGTTTTAATTTTGTTTAAAAGGGTTTTTAGTTGTTAAAGCTAGTGTCGGTTTAATTATATTTTGTGATGTATTCTGATTGTAATAAGGGTGGTTTTTATATTTCACAAAGATTGTGTATCTAAGCTTCTACCTGCTCAGACAAATAATGATTAATCCGGCACTCGTTATATTTTCAATATATACATTCAGCCATAAGTTCGCAATAACTACAATAAAGTATGGAATTTACACGAACATGACTTTTTTTATCTGACTGCGATAGTATCTTAATAATATTATGAATGTAACGCCTGAACGGATTTGAATAAAATTTGCTACACAGATGGACTTGGAAATCACGTGGTAAGTGCATTCTCGCATAGTTACTAGTTGCGACTAGTTGTGTTAAAACTATTTTTGATGGCATAATTATATTGAAGATTTGAAATGTTATCACATTCTGTGTAAATGTGTCGTGCAATATTTGTATATAATAGTAAGGATCATATAGGTCGTCGTAACAAGCGAGCGATGAGCGTTTCAAAAAAATTTGTGTGAACTCAATATCTCGATTCCGTGAGAATTTTGAAAAATTCCTTATAGTAGTCTGCATCTACGTTACATTCATCATCTCCATCGTCTCGATCACTATTTGTCCACTGCTGAGCATAGGCCCCCTCGTAGACTGCCACAAGAAATTGTCCTGAGCCGCCTGTACCCATTGACTTTTTTATACTACCATGATGGCAAATAAGTATACAGCTCCTCTGAATGTAAACGTGATAACCATAGTCTCTGGATGCCTGTAATACCAGGGACCCTTAAGAAACCTTAATACGTTCTTTTTGAAGAACCCCATGTTGTAAAAGAAATCCCTAGAGAAAGCCTCGGCACGAAGATCATTTCACAACTTGAGTGTTCGTGGGTACTTCCCGCTTTGAAATGGAACTTTGTATGATCATTCTGATTCTAAGGTGTGTGGATGGATTCCCTGCCAATGGCGAGCGGTATGTTGGTGAAAAGTGGCAGTAGGCATTATATTGAGTTTTTCAGAATACAAATCCGTTACATTATAGGAATATCCGTACAAAATTATATGCTTCTATATTACATTATATGAGAAATAGGAGTCCCTTTTCATGAGCATATATCACGGCTATGCGAATTGAATTCAAAACTAGGGTCAATATCTAATTTTGTCATAATTGGTGATAGTTATTAATAGAGGGTTTTTTTTTTTAATGGGTGATAATGGAATGGTCCCCACCCATGCTATCGGTATACACCGGCGGGGCACCAGTGAAGGATGATAGGTAAGGATGAAGCAGGTCAGTTAGCCCATCGTGACGAATTCAACAAGAATTGTTCACGATGGTTTCTAGGGGGAACCACGTGGAGGTCGACCTAATAGGGCATATTGTTAGTAATGGGGCTGTCAAACTTCATTGCTAACAATCCCTTTCCCCCCTATTAGTAGAGGGTAGTTGTACCTATAGACTTAGCATATCGTACTTATATACTTCATAATCTAAGATTAGCTATACCTAAGTTGATTTTGACATTATTTTTTTTCTGTAGGTTTAGGGATATTACTGGTTTTTATATGTTCCTTACGTACCTTTTCTTAAATTTTGTTTCCATATGCATTCATTCTTAGTTGATGTCCTCGATCTTAATGTGCAAATTGTGTTAACATCAGACAATTCTACGCACTAATTGTAATGATTCATCATTAATAGGATTCTAATTATAACTGTTATATACGATTATTCACAGTACAGTCGGCGTAATTCGGGTGTATTTAAAGGCTTTGTCCTTACGTACCACGCGTATGTGATGACGACACGAAATCGCACAAGGTAAAAGAATTAGCGAGTACTAAAATTGAAGTAATTCTGAATTCTAAAATAAGCAGTATAGAATCTGCAATTATTTGTGTAGTTTATGGATAGAGATTTTAGAGGCAACTAGGTGAGTACCTAGTGGAGAGTATCATGAGTGACATGCAAGTTTGAAACTAATTGGCGTTTATAGATATTAAAATAATATCGTGAATATTTTTTTTAAATGGATGATGATGAAATGGTGACCCCCATCTGCGCTGTCGGTATACGTTGGCGGGGCACCAGTGAGGGATGATAGGTGAAGATAAAGGTCAGTTGACTCGTCGTGATAAATATGTAAATAATTATTTACGATGGTTTCCAGTGGAAATCGCTTGGAGCTCGACCTTAGGTAAATTGCTAGCTATGGGGCTGCTAGTCTTCGTTATTAACAATTCTTTTCTCCCACACCATGGTCATTACAGACACTACCGAACCTGTCATAAGTAGTGATGTGTATCTTTGACTATGTTAGGTACCTTTATGAATGAAATTATATCAGGTTTGTTGGCTCATAGTGACGAATTAACAAGGAATTAATCATGATGTCGACACGACAGGATATTAGTAACAGGGTCGCTAGACCCCACTATTGTCAATTTCCTTGCTCTGCTTGTTAACAAGCTCGATGTCATGCTGTACTTTGACATAAATTGATGCTCAAAAATGTGGAACATTCACAGTTTGTGTAGGCCTTAATAAATAAATGACGAATGATACAAACTCCTCTTGCCGTTCTTTGCTTGTACCATAGGGTACATACGTCGGTCACTCCACTATAAATACTTCGCGACTCACTCCCGCGCGTCGGCACCATTCCAAAAGAAACGCGAGAGTATACGACTAGGTATCAACCAGCACATATAAAACGTTATATGAAAAACAATGGTTGTCAAACTTTATCTATTACCTACTATTTAGAGACTTCAAATTTTAAGAATATTAGACTATTATTAATATAATTATGGTTTAATTTGACTACACGGATCTCTGTCTTTAGAAATATTGACTGAGTATTTAAGTTTAATAAGAATAGAGAGGAAAGAATGAAACATTTTATAGTGAACTAGCTTTGCGTGCGATATCGTTCGCGTAATCAGGATAACAGTTGATAATGTATTTGGAACAAAGAAAAACAAGATATTTTTTTTATTCCAGTTTTATTATTCTTATGGAAAATTTCACAATGTCAGTTATATTATTAATGTGTCAGAAAGCAACGGATAAATCCATTTTCCATTATACAATATTTTTTATGCAATTCAGAATGGCAAACAAGCTTACGGCCCATTTAATTGAAAACGGTAACCATTGCCTATAGACATAAACACTATGTACATAACAGAGTGTACTCTGTCATCTATACACCCTTTATACGTTGCCTTTCCTGAGGATTAAGGTGTTATGCCTCTGTAACCTGCAATTTTATTGCCTTATCCCTTCAAACCGAAACACAGCCATGCAAAAATAACTTCTTCACGGAAAAACATATGTAAATTGTGTTTGCATGACTGTGTTTCGGTTTGAAGGGTGGGATATGGCGTAAATTTACTGGGTACAGAGGAATAACATCTGAGTCCTCAGGAATGGCAACGCATAGGAGGTATCATGGGCGAACAGTATACTTTATTATGTCCATTGTACTGCTCATGTTTATAGGCTATGGTTACCATTTTCCATCAGGTGGGCCGTCAGCTTGTTAGCTATTCTAATTGTACAAAAAAAAAAAATTAATTGGTTAAAAATTATTATTATTGAGCTGAGATTTATTTATCAAAGTAATAGATAAGTATGAATAAATATTTATGGATTCTTGGTATAATTCTTATCCATCCCTAAGCATCGAGCTAACTCTAGTAAATTTCTACAAAATCTGTCTAGTTGATTGGATGTAAGAACAAAACAAATCGATTGGTGGGCTGGCATATTTATATTGTGTAAAGAAGCACCCAAATGCAACATTTATTTGAACATAATTGTGTTTTTTAACAAAAGGTTAAGTTTCACTATCTGACCAACTGCTGGCCTCGTGTGCAAGTCGACAAGCCATGGACTATCTAGTAATTTTAGGCTCTTTGAAGGTTACTGATATATTTTCAGCTTTAAGACATAATTAGCTGTGTGTTCGTTGAGATAAAAAACTTTACTCCTTTAGAGGGATGAATTTTTGAAAATACTATTGCTGTTCATGTAGCAAAGAATGAAGAAAGAAAGAAGTATTTACCAATTTTTTCTCATATTATAAGAAAATTCGTACAAAATTTTAATGCTTCGAGACGCCATCGGTTTACGTAGTAAGGTAGATAGGAATAATTTGTTAATTCCTTCCGAGGGAATTAGAAACGCACTCGACCAGGATAACTAATAGAAACTGGGGGAGAGGAATTTTTAGTAATGGGAGCGCAAAGTTGAAACAAAAGTTGAGCTCCACGCGGTTGCCCTTGATTAAAATCGACGGAGCTGTATCGGAGACCAGTGTGTACAGACTTCGAGACATGGGATTTTTATATATATGTATTAATATTTTAGAATTTCTAAAATTGAAAAAAAATTTATGTAGGTAGTCTCCAGTATGAAATAATTAAATTGCTTAAAGGGATATAACAGTTTTATTTCTAGGCATCTATTTGTTGCTTCGCTATGACTGCTATTAACATTATTATTATATATTATTTCACTTTCCTTGACCCCACTGGCATGTCCAGTAGGTCGAGTAAATCCCTTATTCTTAAAATCCCTCCTCATACCTCCTCATGCTATAGTGGATCATTTACGGTTCATGCGGCTAGACTATGGAACTCTCTTCCACTGCATATTCGTGAAAGTCAATCGCTGAATATATTCAAGAGCAGATTAAAAGAGCATCTTCTGTCCTCATAAACTTATTATGTCTATGTATGTATATGTACCTATTTTTTTGTATGTAAAGAGATATTTTATGTCTATGTATATATGTATATGTATACAGATATGTATTTATTTTGATTTTAATTGTATGAGTTATTTATGTAGTCAACATATTTCATATGTTTTAATAGAAACATCAATAATGTTTCCTTCTATTATTGTACGCATACTGCCCGCTAATAAATAATTAATGCTCCTTTCCACTCAGGGTTTGCTGGAAGAGAACTCTTACAGAGTTAAGCTCGCCTATTGTACACCTTTATTTTATATATATTATATGTAATATTTTTTTTGTGTACAATAAAGAATAAATAAATAAATAAATAAATATTTTAATATAAGGGATAATTTGAACACTTCCATGTGTGTACTGTTAAATATTTATAAAGTGTCGGTTGAGATGGCCGATGCGAGAATATTCTGAAATATTACGTATTTTTAGACCGAGGCCGGCCCTGTTTACATGATACTGTATTACGGTCGCTCTATTTCTTCTCAGAACGATTCCTTCGTACAACTTTTACGAATATTTATATAATTCTGAATGTAATGTTTGATTGCAATTAATAGCATTTTAATTTAATAAGGAGAGTAGAAATTGTTACTAACAGGAGCTGATTGTGAGGACGAAGTTAGGTCAGGGGCTTAAAAATTCTGTCGTATGAGTACATATATGAATTATAATAAGCAAAATTTATTTGTACAACGCTCAGAGCTTTTTAATGCCCCAGTTGATCCTATTTATGAACAATTTTACAGTATTTAACTTCAACGGTCAGGAGAAGGAAAGGAAGCGTTCGTAATCATTAAAGGAAGTTTTGCCAGTAGTTGCTACGCTTAGCAGACGGGTTGATAATCGCAGTTAGGCTTTGATTATATTTTAAGAGGAACGCTGCTGCCCATCCCTTGCCGAGTAAGTGCTCTTAGTCGCCTCTTATGACACTCACGGTAAAGGAAGGGGTGGCCCATTCTATGCCAGGACCACACGGCATGGTCCCTTTCCGAATAATAAATTCAAACTTTCAGTCAGATAGACATCGACGCAGAAAATGAAAAAAAAGAACATCATGTCTTCTTGTATATATATATATATATATATATATATATATATATATATATATATATATATAGCTCAGAGGTGATAGCTGCAATTTTACCAGAGGGAGACTTTTTCGTTACAAAAGTCGTCTGCTTGTGTACCTCTGTCCCATTCGTGTTTATGAGTGAAGTTATGTTTGCATTTGCAATTGGGTGGGTTTTGCCAGTAGTTGCTACGCTTGGCAGATGAGTTGGCAACCTCAGTTTTGGTGATATTTTAAGAGGGACGCTGCTGCCCATTCCTCGACGAGTAAGTTCTCTTAGTCGCCGCATACTACACCTACGGGAAAGGAAGGGGTGGCTTAGTCTATGCTGGGACCTACACAGCGACATAACACCTTAATCCTTGGAAATGGCAACGCATGAAGGGCACGCACGATATTATGCGCGACAGTACAGTTCTGTTATGTCCATGGTATTGTTTATGTCTATAGGCGATGATTACCATTTTCCATGATGTGGGCTGTCAGCTTGTGTGCCATTTTAAGTTGTATACAAAAAGTTAGGTCAGTTAGCTCATCATAACGAATTCACCAGGAATTAACTATGACGTTTGCATATAGTAGTTTGTGTATGCATTATACTCGTCATGTATCGACTTTCGGGTATAAATCTAAAAATGCTAATAGATTGTAATTGGTCTATTGGTTTCCTTGACTCTATGATCTAATAATGATCATATCGAGTTAGTTGGTACAGGTTTGTGTTGTAACTGTGTGAATCATACTCCGGTACGAGTTTTGCACGTCTCCCTGCCAATGTGGTTGGTATTTCCGTTGCATTCGTGATATTTACGTTGATATATTGTTGTTTACGTTAGTTTTTGTTCATAATGACTAGTTCCATCCATCCCTTTGAATGCAGCTGCCAAATGTGCAAGCGTCATCATATGCAGGAACCGATGCAAATAGTTGCGATTTTATGATACAAACTTTGTTATAATTTACATATATACAATTGACGGGTTTGGTGGTGCAATGTCAGGTGATTAGTGATGATGCCCCGGGTTTGATTCTCGGTTGATCCAATTTAGGAACCGAACTTTTCTTATACGACTCAGGTCTGTGTGTTCTATGTTATGTTTTTCACTTGAGGGTTAAACGATTAGTGTATTTGTATGATATTAAGTTTCTTGTAATTTTTTTATACTCGTATTATAAATAGATATTTTGAATGTTTTTCCCAAAATGTGAGATGAGGTGTTTCCCTCAATAGATGCCTAGGTACCTATTACTAAGCAATGTGGTAAAGAAAAAAATATATAATTATTACGAGAAAAACAATTCGCAAATCGTAGCTTTGTGCCGAAATAGCACAATTAGTCACAGTAGTGACGAGCAACTTGCATAAAGGCGTTATCGAATAGTTGTTGGAGTTTAGAAAAATATTTTTATATGCGACTTGAATCTCCCTCATGCGTTATTATTTCTGAGGACTAAAGCATTATGACTTTACAACTTTTATTTTCAATGACTTTACTCCTTTTTCATTCCAAAACACATATGCAAGCTTATGTTTGGTGGCAGAAACATCAGTGGGAGAGAGTTATGTACTCAGTACCCATGCTCCCTGCATATATTCACTGTTTACACACATTTTATATACAAGATAAGACCTCTTATGTAATTTTACATGTAAGGATGTCATTTATATGAATTTATTAATTTAATTAATTTAAAATAAATATATCAGTATAATATGATTTAATATATCGATTCCATTTTACTTAAACCAATATTTGATATGAAAATATCGTTACGAGTATTATATGGAATAAATGAATAGCGAAATGTAAGATTTTTACCTGGACACAACGTGACGTCATAACATCGATAACCCACTCGCTTCATCTCTCTCCCATCCCTACTTATCCCGAGCTCCCGATCCGTCCCACGCGGCGTGCGCTCTGCTGTCAGCCGCCCGCCAGGCAGCGCATCCGAACGAACGAACAACCCGCACCATTCAAAACACGCGTCCGTGTTTACGAACGCAGCCTTCTATTTTGGAAAATTCAAATTTGGAATAATAATTTTTTTGAGTGCAGTGACGATTTGAATTTGGATTGTCGAACGATTTTCAGGTGAGTTTTCTATTTGTAATTAAATATAGACCCGGTCTTTTATGGACATAAATTTAATTAATTATACCATTTAATTATTCAGAATGAGGATAATATTGTTGATATGTATTTACTTATTCATTACCATATTAATAGTATTCTATAGTGTTATTGGAGAAAATATTTTTCCGTTAAATTTGTATACTAGTGTCTAAATATTTAGTAGATATTTAATAATTATTAAAGTGTTATCAAAGATAATATTTTAACGCAATGTTCACTTTTTGTTTTATCTAAGTTTCTAGCTAGTTACGTTTACATAATAGTATCCGGTATTCTAATGAGTAAATGGTCATGTACTAATAGCACAGATAATATAATACTATTTAATAAGTTCGTATTTTTTCTTAACAGATCAAGTGTTATAGAATAGTCTATTGTTGTCTATATGTTGTTGCTTGCTTACAATATTCTTTTTTTTTTATATCACAAAGGTGGCAAACAAGCATACAGCTCGTCGGATGGTAAACGGTAATAATATTCGTAACTATGTTATCAATATTATAAGTACAATAAAGATTTTTTATAATTTTACACGCTATATTTTGTTTTTGTATAAACTGAAACTGCTTTTATGCGGCTAGGCTTCATCATACTCGATAAATCGTTAAATTTTGAAGCAATTATTAGCACTTTTTTAAGAACAGATTGATTGGTAGGTAATTATCGACGAGAACTTTATATAAAAGCACTACCACGATAAATATTGGTAAATAAAAAGCATCTTCATACAATAATACAGGGGCATATCTCTTTTATAACGTGGAGATAAAATCGTAATGGGATACGTAAATTATAAAAACACCCATCATTAAACGCCCGTTGACATATTTATAGATTCAAAATAACTATGTAACTTTTGTAAGATGAAGCATTGAACATCATAAACCGTTGCAAAGAACGCGTTTCTTTTTTGTGTCCAATCTCATGAAACTCTTATTTAAATAACTATATAACTTACATAAGATGGAGCAAATACGAAGGTCAAAACCGTTTCAAAAATTCGTTGCCTTTTTGTGTTCAATCTTATGCAAGTTTTAGGAAAGTCTGAAAGTATTATATTGATAAATATAATATAAAATAAATATAAGCACCACGAAACAGTTGTGTTCAGTTCAGCTTAGATAAAATTACAAGGTAGTGTTTCGTTTGAAGGGAGGGATGTGGCAGTGAATTTACAGGGTATGTTGGCATGACATCATAGCCCTCACGAAAACACATGAGTACCATAGCCAGTGTATTTTGTAATATTCAGAGTACTGTTGGTGATTAGTAAATTTGTTGGACACTACAAGTTAAAAAGTCTGTTCAAAATGGATTCTTTGTTCCTTTTTTTTTATACAACTTAGAATGGCAAACAAGCTGACGGTCCACCTGATGGAAAGTGGTAACCGTCGCCTATAGACATGAGCAGTACCATGGACATAACAGAGTATACTGTTTCGCCCATGATACCCCTCATGCGTTACCATTCCTGAGGACTCAGGTGTTATTCCTCTGTACCCAGTAAATTCACGCCATATCCCACCCTTCAAATCGAAACACAGCTATACAAACACAGCTGCTTTACGGTTGAAACACGAATGGGACAGAGGTACCAAAGCAATCGACTTTTGTACAAAGTCTCCCTCTGGTATATTTAAAGCAATAATACTTAAATAATACTTAAAGCATATGATGTAAGTAGTTAGATATGAGATGAGGCAGACTGGTCATACACATATGCCTCATTTCTAAATAAAGAATTAAAAAAAAACACAGTGTATCTGAATTATTTATACAATTCGCTGGTGGAATAGTTTGTGTGTCTCGCCTCGTTGTTTTAAATACCTATTTTAACTATAGCCTATTTTAATAGAATCTTAATGGGAAGATAAACAAGTCTTGTTTAAGTCATCATAGAGACATTCTATAAATGAATATAGTGACGAAATATTCAATCTACTGTTAAAAATCTTTATTTTTTTATTTATTAAATACAAGAATACAAGAAATATACAACATGAGTATATTGGATCCTACAATAGGTGAACCTGTTTCGCGGGAGTCCTGTTAAATAATTTTCAAGTGTTTCGTGAAGATATGTGCATAAAACCATGAGTTATTTGGTGACTTTTAATATTACATACTTGTAAATAGGTATATACAAATAAATACACAATAGATAATGATGATGATGATCATCATCATCATTATCATCATGTCAGCCCTTAACTGTACACTGCTGAACATAAGCCTTCTCCTTGGGGGTTTTGCCAGTAGTTGCCACGCTTGGCAGACGGATTGGCAATCGCAGTCAGGCTTTAAAGCTTTTCTGCTGCCCATCTCTCGTCCTCCCTTAGTCGACTCTTAGAGCACCCACGGGTTAGGTAGGGGTGCCCTATTCTATGCCGGGACTATACGGCCGAATACATATACACACAATATTACCAAATATACACATATTATAAAATAGACATATATTAATAAATATTATATACAATTAATACAGTGGCATCGTAATTCAGATTCTGTAGATACTGTATTATCTTATATTTCGCTTCAGTATTTTTAAGATATCCAGTTTGCAGAGAGTATTAACTTTTTTGTATATAAATGGGCTCGAATAACTAAAGTGCAAATGTAGTATTAACACGAGGTATTATTTTGCGCCTTCTCTGGTCTGATGATTTTTTATTCAACTACTACTTACTGGACATCAGTTGACTGTCTTATGGTCAGATCAATTTATAGATTTGTTTATATTTTCATAAAATTCTATTGAAATATATATTAGATCAATTACAAAAAAAAAAAAAACAATTTTTTTGTAATGAGAATGTAATGGCCCTAAACCTTCCTTAGTCTACTGGTAAATTTGCCACTGGGTGACATATTAAGTGCTGGTCGTGTCTATAGGCGATGGATAGCACTTTCCATCAGACAAGTCCTCAGTCTCACGAAAAAACCGACTTCAATTGTGACAAAACCAGTTATTTTGGTCTAAAACTTAAACTACTTACCCAATTTTGATTAAATTTCTATGGGATCAACTTTCAGATAAGAATTTTCTGATTCGGTTTTAGAATTGTATAATATTGTATAATAGTTACGAGGTAACAAATATAAAAAAATATAACCAACTTCAGGACTTATTTATTTATTTATTCTTTATTGACCATATTACAAAAAAAAGTCTGGTACAAAAGGCGAACTTAATACTATATAGTATTCTCTTATTGACTGGGAGTCAATCTTTGGCTAAAAGGACTTCCTTCTTTTCGAATTCAGTTGAAAACAAACACCCTTTTGTATCAAGCATCAACTTTTGCTTTTTATGTAATAACTTTTCTCGGACTAATGTAAATTAATTATTAACTTATTTATAATTTAAGAAAAAAATATTTGAAAAATAATTGAATTGGTTTATTTGTATCGACTGCCGTTCTCGAGTTTTGTGATTAGTAACACATTCAGCGAATAGATTAACGATGAGAGATGAGTTTATTACGAGTATATAGTTACACACGGATATACAAAATAATAGAACTCATATACTCGTAGCAGATTCATTTTTATAGCTCGTTAAGTGACATATTACAGTAAATAAGCTGACGATTCACCTGATGGAAAGGTGTAACCCTCACCTATAGACAAGAACCGTTTATGTGTTGCCATTGAGGATAAAGTGTTAAGCCTCTATACCTTGTATTATAGCATTTTTATTATAAAACTACAAATAGTAAAATAGTAATCTACCGTTATAAACATTCGTACTATATTTTTTTTTATTACACGATAGGTTTCTGCTCGATCTTACCTCACTTGATAAAATGCACTCACTCGGAAAGTGACTTGAAGAGTTTCTGGTTGCATTTCTCTGGGAAAAGAAAGTAAGAAGACCATTTTATTTCTTAGCAGTTCCCATTAGTAAGGATGTACAGAGTACACTAAGCTAAAATTATAGTATTGATAAAAATCACTTCATATGTACTATTCGGGATGTGACCCTACTATTTTATCATTACATTATGATCTCTACGTTTCTAATTATGCATCCTTTTCCGGTGGACCCTGTATATGTAATATTATATTATTATGTTATTTTACTGGCGATTTAATGCGCATTAAGAACCTATTTATGATATGCATACACACTGCAACCATGCGTAAACACACGTGCACGAGTAACGAATGTCACATCAATGAATAGAAGCTCTAATTTAGATGCGCATACGCAACCCGGTGGGTGATGAACAATAGTTCTAGGAATAGAGAGCAAAGCGTTGAATGGTTTTTAACGTAATTGATATTCTTAACTAATAACTTATTCGGAATAGAAAACGATCAACGTCTACTTCAATTTAAGATACATTGTTACAGTATTGTTAGGTTGGGTATGGAGAAAATTAAATAGGATTGGAGAAAATTGGATAATCTTTGTTTTCATAGTTTTCGTATTTGCAAACCATTTAGCGGTATACAAAGCTGAACATACGGTAAGAGAAGTGAAGAGTACGGAACGGCGTCGTATTTTTATCGTCATTCAATGTAGTGAGAATCGAAATAAATTTGTTGTTAGGTAAAAGTGAATGAAATCGTATCAATTTGGTAAAAAGATATTTGACACTTGGGAAACATCAAAAATAGCATCTGGAAACCTTGCATTGCTTACAGTGATGTTGAGAACATCGAATATTTATTAGATAGGGAAACTAGAGAAAAAGATTTAAGGCAGAATACCAAATAATAGATCAAATATTGCCTGCCTATTTGGAGTACTAAAGATATGTTTTAATGTCGCAATCAATTGTATGTAAACAGAATTAAAACATTGATGATTTAAAAAGGAAAGAAAGAAAAATAATATTATTTAATTGACACACATATTTATTACTTAATTTTTTTTATACAAATAATATAGGCACTAGCTATTTCGCTGTTTGTCCTTTAAAACATAAATAGTTGAAATGACTCAGGAG